TCACGTGAAAGGAACGTTTTTCCTCCTGATTTCCATATCTCTGCATGTTTAACGTTTTCTACGTCGATTCGGATCAGCCCAGTTCCCTACTCTCTTCTTCGCCTCGTGTAGCGTCCTTTGCATTTTCTTTTTTTTTACCTCAGCGATCGTTTAGAGGACAATCACGTGAAAACGTTTCTCGAATTAGTCGACCAATCGAGACGCGATTGCGGCCAATAAATAGAGATTTAGGCATTATTTGAACAAAAATTTTGATAGAAAATTTGAAGATTTTCAGGAATGTTTCCCGAATGAAATTTTATTCGAAATATTTCTCGAACCAAATTTTATATATTTGAAATATTTCTCGAATCAAATTTTATTCGAATAACATTGCGAGTAAATTCTTCGAGTCAAATTTCGTTCGAATAATATTGCGAATAAATTCTTCGAGTCAAATTTCATTCGAATAATATTGCGAATAAATTCTTCGAGTCAAATTTCATTCGAATAATATTGTGAGTAAATTCTTCGAGTCATATTTCGTTCGAATAATATTGCGAATAAATTCTTCGAGTCAAATTTCATTCGAAGAATGTATTCAAAATATGTTTCGAATTAAATTTCATCCGAATTATATTTCGTGAATCAAACGTTATTCGAACAACATCGCGAATAAATTCTTCGATACTAATTTCATTCGAATTAATACGAAATCTTTATCGAATCAAATTTCATTCGAAGAATTTATTCGCAATGCGATTCGAACAATGCCCAACTCTGACACGTATATTCCTGCGTCGATTGCCATCGTCCGACACACATTTTTCTTTCTTTCTTTCTTTCTTTCTTTCTTTCTTTCTTTCTTTCTTTCTTTCTTTCTTTCTTTCTTTCTTTATCTGTCTCCTCCTTTTGTCGACAGCGCGCTCCATTCTTTCGAGGCGATCGGTGAAATTCTCGCGCGACTCGCTATGATAAAATTGTATCGAAGTCGCAGAACCGACTCTTCACTTTTTATCGAGCCGAGAAATATTCCGGATGACTAACAGTATGAATCTGCCAAAGAATTCGCGTTGAATAGATTTCTTTTTTACAGCTGAATCAGAACTTGATTTCTGAGATAGCGAGTGTTTGTTACGTATTTTTAATTCGCGTTAAATCGAATCGAAGGCGTAGAATAAAATGGTGCTTTCATTTTCTAAAGTCGAATTCACTCGTAGCCATCTTTTTTCGCTATCATTCGACGTAACGTCAACTCGAACGCAATTCAACGCCGCTCCGACACTCGATTTCGAAAAATCAAAATCTTTTCGTTAAATTTAACCCTTTGCACTCGAGTAGTGACTCTGAGACACCACTAAAATTGTTCATTCACGCTTCAAGATAATTTTTGTATTAACGAAGTTTAAATTTAAAACTTGTTAAAAGTATAACTGTCATCACAAGTCATCGCAAGACTCAATTTTATATGCATAAAATGGAGATACTATAAATCAGAAAAATTGTTTTAGATTTACAGTTAAAATGTGGCTTCGAGCGCGAAGGGTTAACCACTTAAAATTAACCAGAAAATCCACTTTAAAACAGCGCGTATTCCGCTACTTTCTGAATTGTTCGCGACGCGAAGAACGATTCGTCGCGATTTGACATTCAATTTCCCATGAACGATTGTATTCTAATTCGCGCGGTTATGTGGTTGGTTTGACATAATGATAGAGCGGTTTGCGTAACTCCAATTACAAGTTGTATAATTTGTTGATACACGCGAAGAACTCGTGAATGAAAGGCGAACCGTATAAAATGAATCCGAGCGAAACAGCGTTTAAAAAACAAAAAGAAAAGAAGAAGAAGAAGAAAGAAAACGTTTCTCAATGAAAGGCAAATCACGCGAAACGAACGAATCTCGGACTTTCTTACGGTTTTAACTCTTCATAAAATCTGTGCGCGGCGACGGGGTAAAATTTTGCTCACTAATAAAGAGCTCGCTTGTTTATTATTATTTATTCGCTAGGCATGCGAACGCGCGGAACGCAACAGCGCGATAAGAGGAACATTCGTGCTCCGCGCGAAATTATTTTCCGCGATTCCTTGCGCCGTAAATTACCCTTTCGCTGTATTAAAACAAGTGGAACACCGCCAAAAAGTACACTTCGAACGCTTATTCGAACAAACATGTATACTTAACCCTTTGCACTCGAAGCTGTTTTAACTGTAAATATAAGATCATTTTTCTAGCTCATAGTATCTCTATTTTATATAACAAAATGCATTTTATGCACACGAAATTGACTCTTGGGACTCGCGCAACGGTTACGCTCTTAACAATTTCTGAAATTCGAACTTCGTTGATATAAAGTTTATCTTGAAAACGAGATACGACAAATTTTAGCGGTGCCTCCGAGTCGCCGCTCGAGGGCAAAGGGTTAATTCTAAACGATAGCGAGAATCGAGACGAACGGATTTTCAAAGTGCGAATTCACCTTTCGCCGGGGCTTGTAAAATCGCATTTTTAACGCGGTGTTACAATTTCATTCGATCGGCCGGCAAACGTTTAACCCTTTGCGCTCGAGTGGCGACACTGAGGCACCGTTAAAATGTGTTACACCATCTTTTAAAATAATTTTGATATCGACAAAGTTTAGATTGAAAAAATTGTTAAGCGTGTAACCGTTGCGCGTGTCCCAAGAGTCAATTTTATGTGCATAAAATGCATTCTGTCATATAAAATAGAGATACTGTAAGAGAAAAATGATTTTATATTTTCAGTTAAAGCGGCTTCGAGTGCGAAGGATTAATTATAGACTTTATCGCGTAGCGGATGAAAAACTGCGGAATGTTAAGATCGAGACGCTTTTTTTTTGTTTTAATGATCCGGTTGAATGGTAAATCGCGAAGTGTGTAATTTTCATTTGCAAAGCGACGCGACGTCTGCGTCGATGTTCGAACGAGAGCCGCGCGGTCGTGTCGCACTGTTGGAAAGTAGTTGCTCGCCAAAATGGTAACGGTAGTCGAAAGAAACGTAGAAAAAGAAGAACCACATTCCAGATTCTTCCGGGTTTAACGGTCGAAAGTGTTCAAGGCCGGCACGCCTCGACGTCTCGATCGGTCGAGATAGTCCATCGATTCGAAGAGAGAGAGGGAGAGAGAGAGAGAAAGAGAGACTCGGCTCGTTGCTTATCCGCGATCGGTTGTCGAATTGTTAACGGATGCCTAATCGCGATAAGATGATTTTACTATCGATCATCCTGTATCTCGATTGTGTTTTGCTCTTTGGAATTTTACCGGAACACACGCGGTATCTTTTTCGGTGGTTCGCGTCTTCTCTTCTCGCGCGTAGAAGAAACAAAACGTGTTCCGATCGTTGAGAAGATGACAAAGCACGCATGATTCATCCGGGCTTAGGGCATCGAATCGAGATTGACGGAACAATTGCTCTGTAATTACGAGGAAGGAAAGAAATATGTAAAGAAAAATTCGCAGAACGGAATTTCGCATCTCCGCAATTTAATTTCGCTCTCGTTGCGGCGCGAGATTGTAATTTCAATTCGCGTCTTGCAAGCACGTGTGTACAATTAATTTAATATATTCGGTCGGATCATTAAAAAAACAGCGTCTCGATCTTAACCTCTCGCAGGATTTTTTCCTTCCGCAGTTTTTCGTCCGCTACGCGATGTAAAGTCTATAATTAAACGTCTGCCGAATGAAATTGTAACACCGCGTTAAAAATGCGATTTTACAAGCCCCGGCGAAAGGTGAATTCGCACTTTGAAAATCCGTTCGTCTCGATTCTCGCTATCGTTTAGAATTAACCCTTTGCCCTCGAGCGGCGACTCGGAGGCACCGCTAAAATTTGTCGTATCTCGTTTTCAAGATAAACTTTATATCAACGAAGTTCGAATTTCAGAAATTGTTAAGAGCGTAACCGTTGCGCGAGTCCCAAGAGTCAATTTCGAGTGCATAAAATGCATTTTGTTATATAAAATAGAAATACTATGAGCTAGAAAAATGATCTTATATTTACAGTTAAAATAGCTTCGAGCGCAAAGGGTTAAGTATACACGTTTGTTCGAATAAGCGTTCGAAGTGTACTTTTTGGCGGTGTTCCACTTGTTTTAGTACAGCGAAAGGGTAATTTACGGCGCAAGGAATCGCGGGAAATAATTTCGCGCGGAGCACGAATGCTCCTCTTATCGCGCTGTTTTGCGTTCCGCGCGTTCGTATGCCTAGCGAATAAATAATAAACAGCCGAGCTCTTTATTAGTAAGCAAAATTTTAAGACGCTGTTCCAACGTCACCGAATTAACTCCGCAATTGATGTTAAACTCGACGATAAAATTCCATGACGTACATTCCGATCTTCGCGCGTTCGTCGGCGAGCCGCTTTGCATATTTCGTTTTGAGAATTCAAACCGTCGCGTATAAAAAAACATAGTCGGGTAAAAAGAACCGACGAACTCGCATTTGTCGCAGCACTTTTCGTAATTCACCGCTCTGCAGACGTTCTGTCGCCGAGGAAAAATCTGTTGGCCGTACAATAAAATGTAGGCGCGCGATAAATAGAAGGTTTTTTTCTTTTTTCGAAGGAATTATTACAATTCAAGATTAAAATAATTCTCGGATTTCATTGAAATTGTCCGAATAAAATTTTATTCGAGATATATGTCGAATAAATTCTTCGAATATAATTTTATTTGCACAATATTTCCTATAAATTCTTGGAATAAAATTTTATTCCAGAAATATTTCGAATAAAATTTTGTTCCAGAAATATTTCGAATAAAATTTTGTTCCAAAAATATTTCGAATAAAATTTTGTTCCAGAAATATTTCGAATAAAATTTTGTTCCAAAAATATTTCGAATAAAATTTTGTTCCAGAAATATTTCGAATAAAATTTTGTTCCATAAATATTTCGAATAAATTCGTCGAATAAAATGTGATTCTAGAAATATTTCGAACAGAGAAATTCAACTGGACGGAAAGACAAATCATTATCGAGGTTTGCTTTTCGTTTGTTTCAGAAGCAACATCTCGCTGTCCTGCCATAGTCTTTGCGGGAGCGTTGACGATGGCCTCCAGGGATCTCATCCGCAATACCAGGACACGATCCTTACCATCGAAGAACTCCGTGCTCAACTGAACTCGTGCTTCACGTAAGTGTTGAGCCTGAAAAGCTCGTGCTCTCGATAGCATTTCACTTGGCTGGATATTATGCATTTCAAGTAGAAACGAGTAGTCGAAATATAAAATGGTGAAAAACGTAGGAATTGTTTAATAATTTTGGGACACCGTTTTCAACTTAGCAAAATTTAATAGAAGAAACTATTTTTATTCGATTTCTGTCTCTTACGATCATCTTTGAAAACTCGTATTTTCAATCTGCATTTTATATTCAAAATTGTACAAAATTGTAATTTACAGTCTGGTAAACACAAAAATAGTAACGATTATTAAATGCTTAAAAATAAGAGGCTATCTTTGTGCAGAATAAAAATTGTCGGGAAACTGGGAGTAATTTAAAAATTGCATTCTTTCTTCAACAATTTTAATCGATCCAATAATACTTAATAAATCAATAAATTTCATACCACTATAATAAAGTATATTTAATAATAATTAATAAATCGATCAACCTAATTCCGACCACCTTGAACCATAGAAAAGAGAAATCCTTCCAACGTGTCTTTGAAGTCAACTTCTACGGTACATATTCCGGATTAATTCGAAGATCCTAAGCCAAGCATGGACTAAGAGATAAGTCGATCAAAAGCGTTCATAAATTTCCAATTAACATCCTGGCAATACCCGTTCGAATGGGGCCGTTCGTTGCGCAAACGTTGATAATCGCTGTATAACAGTGCGAGCACCAATAAACGACGCGCAGAAAATTCAATTACAGCTGCTATCGGCAGAGTGAAAAACGATAACGCAGAATTCGACGCGGTTCTTATCTGTTACGTCAAGAACTCGCGTGTTTCATAAAAGCCTCGATAACAAAAAAAGAAAAAAGTTACAATCGGTTCAACAGCCGCTATCATCGGAAACAATTAACTTCGCCGGCCCTTGTTCTTTCTTTTTGGTGTCATTCCGCACGATTTTCCGAACGAGCCGATGATTAGCGCAGGATCATCGCGAGATATCGGTAACGTTCGATGCGTCGATGCGATCCTCGGCGTCGATTGCGCACAAAAATGGACAATTTGGGAAGAGTAGATGCGATTCTTCGAGCCTTTCCAAGCTGAGCGTCAATTAGCGAGAATTTACTGTATTATTATAGCACTTGTGCGAAGTTCAAATTCAGTAATTTCTCCCGGAAATGCCAAATTTTGGGTTGCTGTGAATTTCCATGTGCTAGTGCTACGCCTATGTAATTTACTGCTACGCCGATGCTAAGGGTCGACGGAATTGCTAAATTTCCTTCGGATCGTGTCAAGTGGCCTTCAAATTACCTTCGAATCGTGTCACGTGGCCTCCGAATTGCCTTCTAATCGCGTCACGTGGCCTCCGAATTGCCTTTGAATCGCGTCACGTGGCCTCTAAATTGCCTTCGAATCGTGGCAAAAAAATAGAGAAATTAGAGAAACAAAAAATCAATTTTTATAATTGTTGTTAACAATTAGAAGCAATTTACTGTAAATCGTTGTCCATGCTAACTTATTTCCCGAATGTCGAGAATTACTTCTTCGATTTTCTATTTTAATTGTTCGCGTACGAATAAAGTCTCTAGATCGCGATTATGTTACACATATAAAAAAAAGACTACTGATTTTTTAATTTTCTTTTTAACCATTGCTCGCATCCACTGCGCGCCGCGCCGCAGATCCTGGGAACGCGGCGCGCGGCTCTCGCTTATTGCGCAGACTTGAACTCAACCCGGCAATAATAGAATCCGATGCGATCCAGAACCCACCACCGCGACGATTAAATTCGTTCTAGACGTCGGTTGATATATATTAAGCGGAGAGATCCGGTTCGAACTCCATTATTCCCAGAGTTCATTGTTTCAATGGAATATCTGCGGTCCGGCGTCATCATCCGCGCGACCGAATAGAAATTGTTGAGAAAACTTCGCGCGTTCTAATGCAATCGGGGATCGGCTTTGAAGTTGAAACGTTCCATCGGCTCGCTTCTTTTCTCGAGCTGTTCGCGTTTTTTTTTCAGTTCGTCGAGTTTTGCGCAATTGCATCGTTCGAGCTGGTCTCGTCTCGTCGTCTTTGACATTAGAGTTTAACGGAGCACAAAAAACAGCTGTTTTATATCAATCTATAAAAGTAACAATAAGACTTTAATTCCCGATTTTTAACATTATTGTAACATTTGCCGTAAGTGACATATAAGTTGAATAAATAACTCGTAAATGTATTTTTACGATATGAATAATCGTGGATTAAAAAATTAATGATCCGTCATTTTGACGGGCTCCGCGTTAAACTGGATTGCAAATCGATAATTTCGTCTACCAGCACTTTCGTATAGATTGCAGGATGATACGAAAATGTTGCTTCCATTTAAAAATCGAAACGTCGCTCGTACGAGAATCCCCTATTTTTATTTAATTAAATACAACATTTATTTTTGGAGACAGAAACACGCGAACGAACGCTTCTGCGGCAAAAATGCGTAGTCGAAATATAGAACGGTATGATCGAAAGAATGTTTCTGTTGCGCGAAGATCCGCGGTTCGATAACAAATGAGCCGTTTATTTTGAAAGTGGCATAAGTCACATTTTTTTTTTTTTTTAATGAAAAGATACCGTTCAATTGTAATTAGTGTTACCATTAACTCGATTTTTTTGAAAAAGTGACTTACGCCACTTTCAAAATAAACGGCTCAAATAGAATCCTCCCTAGATCTAGAAAGACAAATTTTGTTCACGCGGCGGATTTATTCGAATTGAAAGGGAACAGATGCGTTCGGTGGGGGAAGATCGATAATTGATCTTCCTCGACGATGATCTTCTGCGACATACGAGGAAGGATCCTAGGCTATGGAATCTAAATTGACGTCCGTCGTTATACAACCATGTACGTCGTTGAAGTTTAAAACACTTTCGTTCTCCTTCTTCTTCGTTCGCGATGCGCGTATATCGTGCGTTTACGAAAGAGAGAGAGAGAGTGAGTGAGAGAGAGAGACAGAGAGACCACGAAAGAGATGAAAGAATCTAACAAACATCGGATAGCTTCGAGTTGTTTTGTTTTTTTCTTTTTCGTAACGAAGACGATCGTCACGGTGATTATTGCAAATTATAGCGTATCGCGAACGCCGGAGCACAACACGGTATAGTTTCCGTGCGCTTGTTAAAAGAACAAAGTTTTCTTCTTCTTTTTTTTCTTCTAAATGCTATGTCGAAGCATCGTTGCGGATGAACTCAAGACATTTCCGTAACCTATCGGATTTCTAATTACTTCCACACGCTGGTTTTATAATAATAGGACCGGGATGCTCAATGGCAGGTACTCGTCGAGTGCTTGCTATGTATATCTTATCGTCCAGATGATCTGTATCGAGATAACGATTAAAGTTTGCTCGCGAACGACGTCCGAGAGGATTAAATCGCACTTAATAACAATTATAAACCGCGCGTAATGATAATCGTCGAGCGAAATTAAAACGATAACGTTGAAAATCGAGCCGTGCGAATTCCATGGATTTTCGCGCGAAAATAAATCGGTAGATTAAAACGTTGTAACATTAAATTGTATTTTGTAAACATTGAAATATTTAGACTGTGAATAATACGCGCCAAAATAATATCGCCGATTTAAAAATTGAACGATGCTTGTTGACCCAATGTTTCCGTTAATATTTATAGGAAACGTTAGAAAGTGTCGCGCTGGAAAATCGTATGAAGTAAATTAAATTACATATTTTACAATCTGAAAACCAAGGGCTTAAACAGGAAATCTTTTTACAAGGATTTTATTCGAAAGAAATCGAACGTTCGGTTACTCCAAGTGAAATGTTCATTAATTTGACGCATAGAATTCTTCGAATCCACGGAAAATGGTGCTTGGGGTGAATTTCAGCCCATTTATTTAATTTAGTTTCATCATCTATTTCTCAGCCTCCGACTTTTACCATTTATTTTAACGTATTATTTTATTATTATTATTATATATTTATATATAATATAAATTAAAAATATTATTATATATATATATTTATTATTATATATTTATATATAATATAAATTAAAATATTATATGTTATATATATATTTATTATTATATATATTTATATATAAAATATAAATTAAAAATATTATATATTATATATTTATTTACGCGTACAAGAATATATCCAGTATCATCTACGAAAAAAGAATCTTTCCGTGGGTTCCGTTTTCCGTGGGTCAATAGTTTCTGTAATAGTTTACTATTTAAGGTTATGGTCAGGTTACATAACCTAACAGTTTTCGTTAGACGGGTATACTGACCGCGGACTAATTTTCTTTGCAGATGTGGAGTATCGTGGAGCGAAGAACACGTATCCCTCGACTGCAGCGAATGCGGTGGTTATTCCCTTCAACGGCCGTGCCCGCTTTGCGACGGACGTTGCCATGCCGTGTGGAAACGCGACCTTACCATGGTAAACATCTATTTTTTACGTTGATCACCGTGTTCCCCATAAACATCGGGCAGAGAGAGAGAAAGAGGGCACCCCGATCGATCCAACGCCCACGGTGCAGAACGGTCGAGTGATCGATCTTTAATACACGCATTAGCCGTCCCGATGGAACCAGTTTCATTCAACTTGAATTCCAAGCCCTTTCAAACGTTTCGATCGCGACGCCATTCCAAAGGCTAAAAAGAGGACGCTTCCGTTTCATGTTTCAAGGCAGCGCCGCATTCACCGTCGCCTTTACTTTTCGAGCATCAACGGCTTTTGCATAAACTACAAATATTTTCTAGAGTCTGAGATATTATATATACGGGGTGTTCCGAAAATGTCTCGCAATCCGAAAGTGACGGGTTCCTCGGGTCATTCGGAGCAACTTCTTCCTTTACAGAAATGTTCTCCGAGGCACCGTTAACGAGTTATTAACGAAAACCAGTGACCAATAAGAATCGAGTACGGCTGACGCGAGGCGGCCCAGCCAACCAGCGCACGAAGCCCAGTTCCGCTCATTGGCACGGTCGCCTCGCGCCAGCCGAGCTCGCCTCTCATTGGTCACTGTTTTTCGTTGATAACTCGTTAANAGAGGGCACCCCGATCGATCCAACGCCCACGGTGCAGAACGGTCGAGTGATCGATCTTTAATACACGCATTAGCCGTCCCGATGGAACCAGTTTCATTCAACTTGAATTCCAAGCCCTTTCAAACGTTTCGATCGCGACGCCATTCCAAAGGCTAAAAAGAGGACGCTTCCGTTTCATGTTTCAAGGCAGCGCCGCATTCACCGTCGCCTTTACTTTTCGAGCATCAACGGCTTTTGCATAAACTACAAATATTTTCTAGAGTCTGAGATATTATATATACGGGGTGTTCCGAAAATGTCTCGCAATCCGAAAGTGACGGGTTCCTCGGGTCATTCGGAGCAACTTCTTCCTTTACAGAAATGTTCTCCGAGGCACCGTTAACGAGTTATTAACGAAAACCAGTGACCAATAAGAATCGAGTACGGCTGACGCGAGGCGGCCCAGCCAACCAGCGCACGAAGCCCAGTTCCGCTCATTGGCACGGTCGCCTCGCGCCAGCCGAGCTCGCCTCTCATTGGTCACTGTTTTTCGTTGATAACTCGTTAACGGTGCCTCGGAGAAAATTTTTGTAAAGGAAAAAGTTGCTTCAAACGTCCCGAGGAACCCGCCATTTTCGGATTGCGAGACATTTTTGGGACGCCCTGTATATAGAGACTGTACATGGTATAGAAACATTACTGACACAAACATTAAAAATAATGTTCAGCGGACACACGCATCGAAGCATAATTTACATTGGAAATCGGTTATAATTATTAGCCAGGTTTGAGTTAGATCAGGGTCAGACGTTACGTTAGGTCTGGGTTATGCAGAAGTCGTATATCTTACATTGGATTTCTCATGGTCGACGGTGATTTGCGTGCGCGCATGGTAATTTTTTTTTCGAAAGAATTCTACGAACTAAAAGCGATAACGATATGTTATTGTACGACGTCGTTGAGAAATCGATCGAGGGGGGGGGGTGAACTTTTTTAAAAAAAAGTTCCCACGTAATGCTCCGATTAATGGAAATGTTTTTGCATGCGATAAAAGCGATATAGCGTTGAGTTTGTTAGTTGAGTTCGCGGCGTATCGATTTCACGAATGGCATTTAGAAGTATCACCGGTGTGTTATTGCGAAGGTCGGATTTAGCGACTGCTCCGTTCACGATAAGGTCGGATAATAAAGTCGATCGTGTGCGAAATGGTCGATAAACGCAGGCTTAATGTCGGCTTTTTATAATCGAGTTTTATGATCGCCATTTGAACCCGCCGGATATCGCGAACGAAAAGTTGAGAGTTTGAAAAACATTTTGCCTTCGCATATACAGGGTGTCATCAAAAAATGTCTCGCAATCCGAAAGTAGGGGATTCCTGAGGTGATTTGAAGCAACTTTTCCCTTAGCGAAAATGCAATCCGCGGCTTCGTTTACGAGTTATCAACGAAAAACACTGACCAATCGGATGGCGAGGGTGGCTGGCGCTCCGCCCTTGCGGTCAATGCTGCGTCGCGCCGGCCGTCTGGTGCAGCGGCGGCGGTTCCGAGGGCGGGGCGTCAGCGATCTCTCATTGGTCAGTGTTTTTCGTTAATAACTCGTAAACGAAGCCTCGGAGAAAATTTTCGCAAAGGAAAAAGTTGCTTCAAATGACCTCAGGAACCTCCCATTTCCGGATTGCGAGACATTTTCGAAACACCCTGTATATCCTTTAAGCTGATCAATTGTTGCTTAAAATAATGAGACGAGATTCAACGTGCAACGAAACCAGAACAAAGCAGGGTTCAACAAAACGCTAATACGCTAACGCGGAGAATCTATAGCAACGCCACCTATTGAAATTAATCGTGAGAGATGAACGCCGAGCTTGAAACGTCTGTTTCTCTTTGTTACAGTCCCACGCGAGTGGTAAAGCAAGATGGATTGGCGAATGTGGACTGAGTTGTGGCCCGTCGCACGAGGAGTCGTTGGTTCCGGCGTTGGAAAAACTACGAGCCACTTCGTGAACGGTGCTCGGCGACGAACGCATAGAGAGACGTCGTGTACCGTCACCCTGCACAAGACTTAATCCATCATCACCATCCATATAGTGTCACCCACCACCATTGTGCGAGTCGGAAACGTGTGAATGTGGACTCTGGTTGNCTTAGCGAAAATGCAATCCGCGGCTTCGTTTACGAGTTATCAACGAAAAACACTGACCAATCGGATGGCGAGGGTGGCTGGCGCTCCGCCCTTGCGGTCAATGCTGCGTCGCGCCGGCCGTCTGGTGCAGCGGCGGCGGTTCCGAGGGCGGGGCGTCAGCGATCTCTCATTGGTCAGTGTTTTTCGTTAATAACTCGTAAACGAAGCCTCGGAGAAAATTTTCGCAAAGGAAAAAGTTGCTTCAAATGACCTCAGGAACCTCCCATTTCCGGATTGCGAGACATTTTCGAAACACCCTGTATATCCTTTAAGCTGATCAATTGTTGCTTAAAATAATGAGACGAGATTCAACGTGCAACGAAACCAGAACAAAGCAGGGTTCAACAAAACGCTAATACGCTAACGCGGAGAATCTATAGCAACGCCACCTATTGAAATTAATCGTGAGAGATGAACGCCGAGCTTGAAACGTCTGTTTCTCTTTGTTACAGTCCCACGCGAGTGGTAAAGCAAGATGGATTGGCGAATGTGGACTGAGTTGTGGCCCGTCGCACGAGGAGTCGTTGGTTCCGGCGTTGGAAAAACTACGAGCCACTTCGTGAACGGTGCTCGGCGACGAACGCATAGAGAGACGTCGTGTACCGTCACCCTGCACAAGACTTAATCCATCATCACCATCCATATAGTGTCACCCACCACCATTGTGCGAGTCGGAAACGTGTGAATGTGGACTCTGGTTGCATAAATGATACATTATGTTCCTGAAGAGGGGACGACCAGAACGGACGGGATAAGTCCAACAGCGAAACAGCCGTTTTCTTCTTCCCTACGGCTGCTTCCTCTGTCACGGATGCATTAAACCACACAGAACGGCCGATCGGCGGATTCTCTGCTTCAAGAGCCTCTGGAACGAAACTCGGCCGTTCCTCTTCATCATCATTGCCGCCTGCCGCCTCGAATCGAACGAACAGCTACTGCGCGGATTTATGGCTGCTGGCAATAAACTACTCGGTAGATTACATTCGAGGAACGTTGGTGCAAATGCGTTCGATGTCCTTGTGTATTTTCAATCTCGACCTATAACAATCTCGTTCGGACTCTGTACAAATCTCTGTAGCACACTCACGCACGCGATCGATGATTTTTCTTCTTCTTCTTGTTTTCTTTTATTTTTTTCCCAAGCGGATTCCGCAGTAAGCGTTAGTTGCAATTCCATCGAACCACGAGTTTTGCGTTCCGAAGAACAGAGTACATCTTCTTCTTCTTCTTCTTCGCACGCCGCACTTCGGAAACATTCGACTTGTAGCACACAAAAACACGTTCCGTTTGACGCGCCAAGGCATTGTGTGTGTGTCACACGATTACAGATTGTCGTTCGAGCCAATCGAATAATACGTACATTACTACTACGCTTTTTTGTTGCCACGAGTCGTTGCAATATTTTGACAAAAGTAATAAGCGAATACTTGCGCAAACGATTTGTCTGTTGTGTCGAGTGTGAAAAGTAGCTTCAGAATAAAAATACTACTACTACTACTACTACTACTACTACTACTACGTCACCGCGTTGTACAGGCTCGCAGGGGGGGTCACGTTCGTGTTTAGCTTATAACGAGAGGTCATACTTTTTAGAATATTGTTAGCAATGTAATTTTGGTCTCGAACAAATGCACAATAATCGATTGTTCAAGTTTCAAGTAACTGTTCCACGGAATCCTGAAAGAGACGAGACATTCTTTTTTTTCCTTTGCAGCGAATACACGAACTTTTCTGTCACATGAATTCATTGAAACTTGATAAGATTCGCATCGAGATGTAATAATAATAATATCGCTTGTGTATGAACTTGTTTGACATTCAAGTGGAAATATGTAATAGCCGAAAACAGAACAGCGACACGCATCTCAAAGAATAGCATATGTTATCATTGTTACATTGAGAACGTGTACTGAATCAAAATTAGGGGACTAAATTTGTACTCCGAAATCCGATGGAATTATACCGTTCAAGAAATAGTATCCATTGCATTCGAGTATTAGACTGATAATTAGGTAAAATTCGCAACAAAATGTATGTCGTAGTCGAGCCAAGACGTGTATCGAGCTCTCTGAAAGATCTATTTCGTACGTTTGAAATGTCTATGCTAAGTTGAATAGAGACTAATCACGAGCTTTCTGAATGATGTACGATCAGAAGATAACACGTGATATATGTACGATTGGAACTGTCGAACCGAGCGATGCGTCTTCGTCTACGATTGCATTTCGGAAAGTTGGTGCTAAGTGCCAAGAAGACACGAAATTAGCCTAAGAAGCTGAACTGAAGGAAGAAATATCAGTTGATGTAGACGCTAGTAAATGTAATAATCTTCTTTTTACGAGTTAAATATATTGCGACTGCGATACGAAAAAAAAAGAAACGATTTTTAATGATCGTGTGCCGGCAGTAATTTTACTAAATGTAAATGCGATTTTAAATTGAATCGTTAGAGAATAGAACGCGGTATTAACGCCGGTTTTAATAAACACAATTATCACTAGCTCGGTTTTATTCTGCATATGTACGTAATTTACACAAGAGACATGATTTTGTAACAAAAAGAAGCATTTATGTTGGTGCCAATGATTTTTCGAATTTGTACTATAGCTCATTTCTTTTTAACAATAATTATCAGATGTTTGTACGAACTTTCGTAAACCATTGTACATTCGTTCACGATATTCATTTTTTTCGAACATATTTGTATTCTTTGATGGTGTAACGTTTTGTATGTGAGAACATGTTCATCAAATTCATGCTCATTTAAATTAAACTGTAACTCGTAACGTTTTCTGAAGTATTAGCTCAGCGAGCGAGCTTTAGTTTAATGCTTTAGAAAATACCTTTGGTAGCGATTTTTATTTAATCCGTGAAATTCTTATTTATGACCAGAACATTAAAACTATGGGTTTAATAAATGATATTCGCCAGAAATTCTGCTCTTGCATTCTAGTAAAAAAGGAGACCTTTTTCCCCTTTCCTTCACTTTGTTCATTGCCGATATATAATTGTTTCTTCGGTACGTTTGCTACAAATCTCTTCTCCTGGAACTTTTATAGTAACTGTTATACACATTCGAATTAAGAACAAACACATTTACGCAAATGAGAGCCTAATTCTGTAGAACACAACTATCTTTACTTATTTATGACAAAATATCTGATATTAATAGTTATAAGGAATTTGGTGTATTATTAATAAGATTATTATATTTATTTCTAATAATTACAATTTATTGACTTAAATATGCAATATGTGAACAATAATATACTATTCACTATTGACTGTTTCAAATTTCGAATAATTCTTTACGTAGTTATTTAAGTTGTTACTTTTCGTAAAAAATAAACTTCTCACCAATACCTGTTCACTCTATGAATTTACCTATCTTCATTATAGATCAATTAAATTTCTAGTGAATACAATTTAAATGTCACAGAGAAAAGCCTATGATAAACCTTGTCTGCACTAATTTCAATGGAGTTAAAATGAAAATTCTTTTTTTCTTATTGGAATCGCGAAAATACAGCGAAGAAAAATTACAAACCGCCTACATAGTATTCTAATTCCGTAAACGATTAAATTAAAATTCTCTTTTCCACATGAACTGAGCTAGATAACAATAAAAATTTATTCTTTACTGTTCAAATATGAAGTTTCAATGTTCACTGTAACAAACAGGAATATGAGGGATACGATAGTGACGTTCTTTGGCCAGAATACATTTTCTAACCAAATAATTTCTCACGAATAAAAGGCTATACGAATGCTCGTTCTTTTATTGACAATATTATGTACACTTCTTATCATGGTATGGAGCGTGTCCGCAAAGATTGAATTTAAGTACACGACATCTCATGGATGTACAGTGGAATTCTGTTTATATGAACTAAATTTTAGTAGAGTAATGTGTATTTATGTGATGTATATTTGTTTAACTGAATTTTATCATGAACGGGATCCTCTTATATGAACACAAATTTCTATTGAGTGTATTATATGTATAGTATTGATGATATGAACCATCTGATTGTGAACCAACATGTCTGCCGACAGGTTCATATAAATGGAGTTCTACTGTACTTTCAATTTGAGATTATTCACTTGCGCGTATTTGGAAAATACACGACATGGTACATCATCAATACATAAGTTCAACAGGCAACATAGAAACAGATCTTTTTACCGACGAAAGTACGAGAAACATTGGTACTGCGGAACGGTGAAAATAAATAATATGAGTTCTTGAACTAGTATAAACAACTGTCGTTCCGTAATAATATCGGGGAGAAAAATGAAATTTATTGACATAAAATACTGAACTGGTTGTAGTATAAATTATTAAATCTACTTATTGCTGTTCGTTGAACCTGTTTCGATATTGACCCATTAACATGTTAAGTATTCAGCCGCAATAAAAGTAGCGAACTGCTTTTACACAACCTTTTAGGGAGTACTAGCTCATAATTCACAGTACAAAATCTTTCGTTGAAAGAATTCTTATTTTTTTTTTTTTTTATTGAGTATACCGTATTACTGAGTATACGTATTATTAAGTTTATAAAGCCAACAAACGACAGATAGCTCCGCAGAGATTTATAAACAACAGTGTTGAATACTTTGTATACAGGTCTGGGGGGGAGAACGTTCCTCCTTAAAAGATCTGTGCGTGAATTTGCTGCCTGAATCACGCTAATATTTTACTATTAGTTACATAATAAAGGTAGCACTGATTTCGCTAAGAGATCGATCAAACTCTTCTTTGAGATAATAGACAATCTCAGCACCATTCATCCTACAAGGACAACTAATCTCGCTCGCAACGCGTGCAAGTATTTGACAAGAATTAAACTTTGGTGCACGACGTGATTCACGTGCATAATAAATAAGCTGCTGCATCATAATGATAGAATATCGGTAACTTTGCCTCGTCGTCCTTCCTCTGTAGAAATGAAAATGTCGTACCAACAACGAATTTAGTAAAACGTGGTATGACCGAAAAGAAATTTAATAATGGAAGGGTTAAGGGATAGCTAAAAATTGTACATATTTACTTTGAAAATGAATCTAGTAGGAACGAATCGCGGGTGGGACCGTCGTACATTCATTTTTGTCTAGAGTGTTATCTATTACTGGCCTGTAATCAATCGACACCTGAAAAGAATTTTAATTAACGTCATCGTGTCGATATTATCTAACTGATACTGTAAGCTATATATTGCTACATACATTTCCTGTTCTCAGATCAATCTTCGTAAGTGTGTGCTTCCGCCAATGTTGTTCTAGCGGTTTTGGTTGTTGGTTTTCTGTCGGCTTGCTATAATCGTATTCGTCGATTCTATCTTTGAAATCTTCACGCGCATGCGCGCCACGGCTTTCTTTTCTATTCTCGGCGCCTACTATCGTTTGCATTGCATTTATCATTAAGTTTTGCAATTCGAGGGTTTCCACGAGGTCGGAATTCCATATCATTGATTTGTCGGACACTTTAAGATCATTCAATTTCTTGTAAAGAACAGACATCTTCTGGCATCCTGGTAACGTTTAAAAAATACATTCAAACAATTTGGTAGCATTCTTTTGATACAACAAAGTATAGAAAATTTAAAACGCTGTACAAACTGTCAATTAAATGCATACCTTCTTGCAACGTTTCAGACGTTCTAAATACAGCCGCGTGGGTCTGCATAGTCTTTTGCATACTTAGTCTCAAGTCTGCGGTAGCAATGCTACCATTTGCATTTCTGATCGCATCTAAATTAGCCACAGTCTCTTCGCCGGCATTCTAAACACAGTTTATATTAGTCTATACGTTCCAATGTTATATTGTAGTATAATACGGTATAATAGTACTAACAGGTTTAAGTGGTCCAATAGCTTGTCCGGGTGTGTTTTCTGCTGCAATTGTCTTAGCACAAGCACGTCCAAAGACGACTAAATCCAGCAGTGAATTAGCACCGAGACGATTAGCACCATGAACGGATGCGCAAGCGGACTCTCCGCAAGCATAAAGTCCACGTACAACTGTGTCCTCGTTATTCGTTCTTATTAAAACCTGCCCTTTATAGTTCGTTGGTACTCCTCCTTTATATTTAAGTAAATGAAAATTATTTTATCGGTCGACTGTTGACTCTTTTATAGCGATGTCAAGACGAATAACTCACCCATGTTATAATGTACCGTTGGAATGACAGGGATAGGTTCTCTCGTTACATCGACTCCTGCAAATATCATTGCCGTTTCCGAGATACCGGGTAATCTGGCTGCCAGCTGTTCAGGTGGCAAGTGATGAAGTTGCAAGAAGATGTGATCTTTCTCAGGACCGACCCCTCTGAATTATTATATTTACGAGATTAATAATATAATTTCTTTAATATTTTTGGGACACCTTATATGTGCCATCTATATGACTCACCTGCCTTCCCGGATTTCAATAGTCATAGACCTAGATACTACATCCCTAGAGGCGAGATCTTTCGCGACTGGCGCATAACGTTCCATAAACCTTTCACCTGCACTATTTACGAGGTAGCCTCCCTCGCCGCGGCTACCTTCTGTGATGAGACAACCAGCGCCGTAGATTCCTAAAATGAACATTCTTTTAAATAAATCTGCAGGCCTCCTAAAAGAACCAATCCTTTTCTCATATTCTTCTCGTACCGGTTGGATGAAACTGTACGAATTCCAAATCCTGATTTGGCAAATTCGCTCTAGATACCATCGCAGTACCGTCTCCGGTGCACGTGTGGGCGGATGTACAGGAGAAGTACGCGCGTCCATAGCCTCCTGTGGCTAATACTGTGTTCTTAGCGTGAAAACGATGGAGAGTACCATCTTCCAAGTTCAGAGCGATTATGCCTCTACATTCTCCACCCTCCATAAGCAAGTCCAGAGCGAAATATTCAACGAAGTAATTGCAGTCGTAGCTTAATGACTGACCGTACAAAGTGTGAAGCAAAGAATGACCCGTTCTATCAGCTACACAGCAACACCTGTGAGCTTGACCACCTTTCCCAAACTTTAGGGACTGCCCGCCAAAAGCACGTTGGTAAATCTTACCTGAAACGAAAGTGATCGCATACTTTAATACAAGTACTACAAATGCAAATCTACATTTGTTCTAAGATTTAGGAATACACATCAGTGGATGTACACCAATGTTCAGACGCCTAGCAACCAGAAATGACTTGTTATTTTTAAATGTCACTCAAAAATTTGTAACACTCCCTCCTGATACTTTGATAAATTTTTGTAGAAGAATAAATAAAATGCTGGAATATTAGTTTAAACGTTAAGAATTCAGAAATTACGTATCTGTTGATTATGGATAAAAATATCGGAGCGAAACAAAATTATGAAGAATTCGGGAATACAGAAAATCAGGGAGACAACGAAAATGATCGGTACGGAATACGATATTATTAAAAGCATTTTTCGATATAACTATTGATACTGCTGTTTGCACGTTTTCAGAGTAAGTATAAAGTCACACCCGACATCGCAGCAAAATTTGAAGAGACGTTCCCATTCCCGTTCTCGATCACCTATAAATACTAAATGTTTAAAGAGATGGGTCAGCTCGAATGCTTTTGTAAATTTTATACAAGATTTCAGAGAGGTGAGTATACAAATTACAAATTTTTTGTTTTGATGATTACCGAAGAAATTTGATCTAGAAACATGCCGGTGTAAAAGGTTCAAAAATATATAAACTAGCTGGTGAAAAATGGAAACAAATGTTGCCAAAAGAGAAGCAACCATATGTAGATGCAGCGAAAAGTATCAAAAATCAAAAACAAGATCAACAAAAGAAAGACAATATAAATGCTCCTAATCCGGCTAATGTTGATTCCAAAAAAGATGAGAAAAGTAAGCAGACAAAGAATACAAAGAAGTCAAAAAAAGATAACAAGGTTTGTGTCTACATCTAAGTTTCCTTCATACTGAATAGATATAATTATTGATAAACTATATAGCAGTATATCTAAATTTTAGGAGAAAAAGCAAAAGAAGAGAAGAAAATATAATACAGAGTCAGACACTGACTCTGCTGTTTCAGCTACATCAGCTACAACAATAACAAGTGATGATCTGTCAGATATGAGTTCATAACTAGATAACAGTTGCTTATATTCACATATTTATATTTGTGATTACTTTATTCTTTGGTAATTCCTATACTTATTTGTCCTTCAGTTAGCAGTTATGTTTCATTGCATGTTATCAAAATTGTGCGCTCTCAGAATATTGATGGTAAAATGTGATATACATTAATGCATTTTAGAAAGTTAATAAAGACAAATACAATTCATCTTTTATATATACATAACACATTATAGTAATAACCATTTCATAATATTACCATCGGTGGTTCGACTGAAAGGCATGCCACAGTTTTCCAGTTCAATGACTGCCTTTGGGGCCTCACGAGTCATGTAATGAATAGCATCCTGGTCACCAAGCCAGTCAGATCCCTTGACGGTATCATACATGTGCCATTGCCAGTTATCATCTTCCATATTACCCAAAGCTGCATTGATACCACCTTGAGCAGCAACCGTGTGCGATCTTGTTGGAAATAATTTGGTAACAACAGCTGTTTTGAAGCCTTCTGCAACCAAACCATAGGCAGCACGCAATCCTGCTCCACCAGCACCCACGACAACAGCATCATACGTATGGTCCACCAAGGGATATTGTTTGGAAATAGCGTCTGATGTTTTTGCTGCTTTACCATCTGGTGTATAATGGAATTTACGGTTTGTAAGAACTGGTAGGCCCAAGTTATTCTGAAATGGTATTTATAAAATCAGACGAAGACCTTATTATTCTAGATTTATAAAACACAATAATTTAATAGTCATTGGTTTTCATATCATTTACTTCTTGTTAAATCATTATATTCCATAGAAACTAGTCTAAACCCAGATATTAAATAAAATACATAATATTTTTAATACTTCCCACCCTGTACTTAATTTCATTTATATTGTCTGTGTACAAATAATAATCAGACAAGAACAATTTCTTATTTTTGTTAATATTTATTTTAATAATACTGTAAACAATTGTACATCAATAGCTAAAATATAATGAGATTCATTTTCATAGACATCTATATCAATTGATGCACATAAATAACGTGTATAGCTGCTTCATTGCATTATTCATCTATTTATAAAACATGAAGCAGGTTTAGAGACCAAGTTGAAAAAAGTAACACACACACAAACACACGCACGCACACGTACACTGTACAATTTGCTGATACAAACTGTAGTAACAAATAATTCATAAATAAAAGAAATTATGTTTCAACGTTTCATAAAGCTTCGATTTTGTCGTACTAAATCGATGCACGTTAATTTTAATTCAATATGTAACAATAGCACGATATAAAAATATCAAAATCATAATAACGTTCTCAATGTAATTACAATTTATATAATCACGACTTGAGTGTATTAATAACATTTACAACATACGGGGTTGTTATTAACAACGAATATATGTCCGTCAACGATGAATGCCAACTCGAGAAACAATCGTCAAAAGAAAGGTTAATAATTGTGATTCGTACGATTTTATCATAAATCGAACGAACGAACGTGAAAAAAAACGTTAGCCTTAAAAACGAACGTCTTATTGGATCTCGTCTGAAAATTGATAACAAGCAGAAAAGTATTTACATCAAAAATCAGAATTGATATAAAGTTTTCGTAACAGGAATATCACTTAACATATGTACACTGTTCGCCATATGGAGATAAGAGGAAATGATACTAAGGTCGACGAAACGCTGTTACATGAAAATATATATTTCATCTTTAATCATTCATTTTTCCATACAATTTATCGTCGGACAAAATTAAATATATATATATATATATATATATATATACATATAACATCGTATACATTCTATACATAAACGGGTTTCGCAAGGCTGCATAAAATATATCGAATAAATTAACGGTATCGCGGTTAACTGATTATTCAAAATACGCTTTCTATTTTCGTAGACGAAACAAACGCGAGGCCGGTCGAAAGTATCGTTAACAAAACAAACTGCGAAACGGAACTGCTAAACTAAATCACACAATTTAAAGATTGCAATTTCCCGCTAACGACTGCTTCCCGTGCCGGTGTGGGCTCATCCGCAATTATAATTAATCTGAAGCGTAATGCGTCGAGTGGTTTCGGTATACATACATATACGGCACACACTTAGGCGTGATATTAAGTCACTGGTTAAAACAAACGATTGTTAAGCAAGCCGAACAGAGCGGATATTATAAATCAGTGTATCATTGCGTTCGCGGATAGAAAAAGTTTTCGACTGTGTGCAAAGCCGGCTGCCATGCGGGGTAGCGCGTACGAAACGAGGGGAAGTGCAGGAAAAAAAAATTGCTTAAAAAGACTCGACGTCAGAATCGTCTGCTAAACGATCCCGTGTAGTCTCCCTCGAGCAAAGCCAGACGATCGCCGGCTTCCCGTTCGATTCTTCATTTCACTCTATTCTCGTGAAATGAGAAATTCCGTGGAATGCTCGGTCACGAGGTAAAATGTTCCGGCGAAATCGATGCGCGGACCGGGGTTCCTCTTCGGTGCGTGTGTTCGGCGAAACTTACGTAATTGTTCGACGCCGAATGTTGCACAGGGAAGGTGCACCGTTGCCAGGATAAAAATTATATAACTTGAAGTGAAAAACATCTTACCAACGATGTCGCGCGAGTATTTCTCGCGAGCAAAGGCGACAGCTTCAGTAACCCGCTCATCTCGACGCAGCGTCACGTAACCGACACGGCTATCTCGTCGTTTTTCTGTTTTTCTTTTTTTTTAATTTTACAACGGTTCCGCGCACCACTCGGCCGAACCCGCGTTTCTACCGTACCGTGCGACTAACCCCAATTTTTTCGCAACTTCACTCGCGCACTTCTCGCACGGCGACGTGAAGCGTTCGAGTCGGTTGAGTACCGACTACTGGCGGAAGCTCTCCGGCGAATAGCAGTGCTGCCAATCGCGACGACGCTAGATAACCTCACCTAGGCGGTGCACCGTTCATTTTCGGTTTCATTTGGACCCGTAATTGTTCGCGCTTGTTTCGTCCCGCACGCGTACGAACGTGCGATCGCGACGGTGTTCTAGAGCGAAACGCAGCCCCTTTTACTTTCGAAATGTCGACGTTCACGTCGTCGCACGGCGGATCGTTCGCGGGCGGGAAAATTGAACGGTACCGCGAAGAAAATAAATCTTCAAGGGGTTCTCATTTCTCTTTACTCGCCGATGGGGTGCTAACGGTATCGCGAATCTCGTGGTGGTTCTATTTTGCCAGTTCGAGGAGGAAAGATATCGTCCACGGATCGTTTCGCGTACCGGTACGCAACGGTCGACGAAAGCGAGCGCAAGGTAAGAGTGTTTTCACGTACGACGATTTTAATGTGCTCCGATTTGTCCGCTCGGCGGTAAGGTTAACGCGGTTTCGATTCTGAAATTGAAATGTCATTGCGCCGAAACTGTTCTCCCTTTCGAGTTCAAATTCGATCGTTGGTCATTCGATAGAGTATCGGTTCCGCTCGAGTCGGTTCTCCGCCCGTATACAATTACATCGCCGCGGCACCACGAATCTCGGGCGAGCCGTACAATTGCCTGTTTACGCTTTAAATCGTGCAACCTTACGCGGACGTAACAGAGAAAAAAAACCGTGTTTTACGAGGCTGTTAGCACGCAGCTCGTAACGGTGATCGCGCTTTAACCGAGCTTTGTTAAACCCGCGGACACGGGAAGCGGGAGAAAGAGAAATGGAAGCAGATTCGTAACGCGTATTTGCGGGGTTGACGGCACGACGCGTGTCGCGTTTACCTATTGGTCGATTCTCTGTAGGCTCGTCTCCTTTCGTACGAGGAAAACCTCATTACGGCCATATGGTGGGGAAACCACTAGCACGCTGCTCGACCAGATGCTACTTATACGATGCTAATGCGGGTATTGGTAGGCGTAGGAGTATTCTGTGAAACAGGTTTACTCGAGTCTACAGGGTGACTCGTAAATATAAATAATACTGCTTAGATTTGCAGAAAAAAATTTCTCGACGACGCGACGAAAATATTCTTTCTAACGGCTCGCATCTTTTTAGTTAGCTTATGCTGTCTTACGCTGCGAACGGTGACCATTTTGTTTCAACGTGAAACAGGTTTACGTTCAATGCGTATCGTAACAGTTGCAATTAATCTTAAAATTGACAAGCGAAAATGTATTGACGATATTTGTTCTTGCTTAATGAGAATTGTAAAAGTTACGAATGTGAGCTTATAATTGAAATTTAATTAAAATTTGGAAAGCGAAAGTATTATTATTGGGCGAAGTAGATGAAAATGAAAGTTAGCACGGGGCACTAATGAGTGATGGCAAAATTAATTTCTATGACAGCATTACGTACTCTTGCAAAATTTTTCTATTTTTGTTTCATGTCTTATTTAAATTTCGATATTTTCGTCGGTAATTGAGCCGTTTATTTGTGAAAGTGGCATAAGTCACTTTGTTTTTAAGTCGATATATTTAAGGGTTTGCGTTTGAACACGTTTAAAAATATGGATGCTAACTTTCGAGAAGATTTACTTGTATTTGTTATCTCAGGATACATCAGTATAAATAATTTAAAAATATGGATGCTAACTTTCGAGAAGATTTACTTGTATTTGTTATCTCAGGATACATCAGTATAAATAATTTAAAAATATGGATGCTAACTTTCGAGAAGATTTACTTGTATTTGTTATCTCAGGATACATCAGTATAAATTAATTTTTCTCAGTATAAATAATTTCGTATAAACATTAAAAAATCACCGCTTTTCATTACGGTAAAGTGACTTATGCCACTTTCAAAATAAACGGCTCAATTCTTACTCGAAGCAGTCACGGAGAGAAAATGTACAGCATGTTTCGCTCGCGGACCGAGCTGTAGCAGGAAAGTGAAGGGATACAGCGACTTTTTAACATTTGATAACATAGCATCAGCATCTACAACATCTTGCTGTGATAAGAACCGACTTGGAGACACAGTTTCCGTCGAGGCCATGCTATAGCGAAATTTTTTCTTATCGGTGTCGCTTATTTTTACGTTTATCTAAGCACAAACAACTATAATTATTCGTACCTTTGAAAAACGTCCGGCTCTCCTGAACACTACAAAATACATTTGAACAGTATGTCGCAAAATATTTCCTCTCTTTTAAGGTACAATATAAAAAGAAATATTCAAACGTGTGTATATAACTTATTTACTATATTTATTTATTAAAATTACATAATAAATCTTAACACTTTATTTTCCGGAAGCCTATTAAAATCCAATCCAAACAATTTTAATCAATTAACATTAATCCAAACAATTCGATGGATTACAGATGACTGTTTAAAAAATAGAAAAAAGACTGCCGGTAGATAAAGCGTTAAATTTCTACAAACAACAGCGTTATTAACCAACATTTAGACTGAAATTCGAACATTACAACCACATGAACGAGAAAATAAAGCAGAACCATTTCACTTTTATTTGCATCCGCTACATATAAATTGTTTACAAACCGTTTCGCGCGAGCAGCTATTTTCTAAACAATGTCAACGATCTAAACGAGAGTTTAGAATTTTTATTCTTTTATTTTTATTATTTAGAACGTCTACCTTTCGGTAGAACCTTTCGTTACACAAATAGGGACGGCGAACGGAACGTGCAGAAATTTGTTCAATCGACCGGCGCCGACGGTGACTAATCGGCGGAAAACGAAATCAAGGAAACGGTAACCAGACGCGACGAGTATAAAAAAACTCCGCACGTGCTAAATACGGTATTTCATGGCTGTGATATGGAAATGGTGCGGGCACAGGGGTCCGCGTCTCCGGTCGGCATTCATTGTTTATGGAAAGTTCGGCGTGCTGGGTCACTGCCGGTCTCTGCGACGCGTTACAACGGTCATCCACGGGTTCGCGTCGACGATTTTTCGATTGATAAGGACCGGCACGTGCTTCGTGCTCGAGGCATTCGCGTCAGTACGCTCGGATCGTTGGTGGGACGTGCTGCGCCTCGTCTTCGTCTAACGTCGAGTCGATAACAGGTCGATAAGAAATGCTGATCTGGAAAATCACGTACAACTGATGCCTATTGAGATGTCGTTACGTCATCGCCGGTACGCCGACTGTGATTCGCACAAGTGTGGAAGTCGCAACATGCGGGCACAACGTTGTGCACGATTTTCAGTCCGTCGCGATAACGCCACAGCGATTGATAAAGAGAATTAAACCGCGTTCATGCGCGTGGACAGTTTTGTCGATCAGGATCAGTTCTCTGGTCATTATTATTATTATTTGTTTTTTTTTGTTCACGCTGCACAGGCTAAAAGTCAGAAATTTTCTACGCTTGCAAGATGAACGCACTAACACGTTCGCTGCCACCTTGACACACATTTGAAAGATAGTCGCCTTAACTTCGCGCGCGTAATTATTTAAAATCGCTCTACGTTGTCACGAGCTACGAACAATTTGGTCCTTCGGATAAAAGCAGTGAACAATGGGCTCGGATAAAATAAAATAATTGACAAATATCTTTTACCTTATCGTTTCAATTAATTGCAATTTTTCAAATTCTTCTACTTTTTTTTCAAATTCGAGTAATTTGAATGAATTTTGAAATGGTTGCTCCATTCGAGGCGGCGCCAAAATATTTTTCGCGTCGACTGTACGTTCGACGAGTTTACAAATTATCTCCGCGGGATTCTTCTCGATCATTGTAAAGGGTCGTAACGTAATTTACCAACGAAGATCTAATAAATCGAAATAATTTCGCGGCAGTTAACTCTTCCCACACCTGTTTTGTTAACAGGTATTTGAATTATGGTAGAAATTGTGGATAAAAATATATTTAAGAAATCAGTCACTCTCGTTCGAGAACGACGAATAATCGTTTTCCAACTTGTCGAAGCTATTGGCTCGAAAGAAAAAAAAATGCAATTGACATAAGTGATCGCGTGTACAACTCTATCAACGGTTCAGATCAACGGCAATTAGATGACACATTGCATGTCTGGAGAAGGAAATACGATATGCAATTTTGTAAAGGTGAAACGTACGAGCAATGGTGACAAAAATTTGTTCCTATAAAATGGACGATATAAAAAGCAATAACAAAGAATTTCGAAGTACTATTTACCGGCAGCAACATCGCGAAGCAACCTTGTATTTGTAAAACGAAACCGTACGATATTTTTAAAAGTAACATTATTTAAAAAAGTATAATCGTGTCATTTCAAAAAAAGAAAAAAAGAAGAACCGAATGACAGTAATTCTGCTACGAAAGTAAAACTTGTTGGAACTTTCGAAAACGACTACTTGAGAATATCGCATATCGTATAATTCCACTCGGGAGAAACAAGATCACCGTTGGAATATTTTACGGGTATGCAAGTAATTATTGAATCAGCGATAAAGGAACTGATAACTCACGGCTCCATCCGATCGAGCCCACGCGAGCGTGTGCTTTCGCCAATGTTCGGAATACGGTCGTTTCTTCTGGCCGTCGAGCGGTTTCGCGTAGTCGTATTCGTCTATCCTTTGCTAAAAACGATCGAACAATTCGTTAATTACGAAATCGTAAAATATCGCGGTAAATAAACGCCTTGATAATTTATGTCGGTCGTATATCGAATGTAATCTAGGCTCCAGCTTCGTTCCGATGCAACGAAACAGGCTTTGCTTCTCGTCGAGACCTCTTTACGATCGTTTCATAATTTGTTACATTTTATTTCCTTTGGTATTGTCAATATTGAATGATTTTCTTTCAGGCTTATAGAGTAAGTGTTGGTATTACTGCGGTTTCTTAATGAAGGCGAACTTTGACGGAGAAAATAAGACCTTTTACGGTAATAAATTGACAACTCGAGCTATCGTTCTTTAACTTGAACATTTACTTCTCTGAAAATATTGGATCTCTGAAAGCATAAATTTCATTTGAAAGCGTAATGTAAAGAAACCATACGCGTGCATGTATTACCGCGGTTATGTATCTATTATTGCGAGCCAAATACTGCGGACGTTCCGATTACCGCGTGTCAAGGTTGACATGATCAATTTTCTTTTAAATGTACAGCTACGATTCCTAAGATCGAGATATTCTCACTGTAGCACTTCACAAATTAGGTATAGATACTCTACGATCATTGTGATCGTACTCTACTAATAATTATCAATTATATCGATTATATTTCAATAATGATCAATTTAATAATCATTTAATAATTATCAATTATATCGATTATATTTTAATAATAATCAATTTAATAATCATTTAATAACTATCAATTACATCTTTTCATATTTTATTTTATAGATTATAGTTAATTTATATTTATTTTATGATTATAGTTATTTTGTAGATTATATTTTAATAATAATCAATTAAATAACCCTTTAATAACGATCAATTACATCGATTATATTTTAATAATAATCAATTTAATAATCATTCAATAATTATCAATTATATCGATTATATTTTAATAACATAAAAAATTATGAGATTCATTTTTAGAAAATTCCACGCTCTATAAAGTTTTAGGTTTTATTACTTCTATAAAAAATACCGCAGTATTCGGGGCGCCCGCGGTAATACCCACACTTACCCCAGTTCTCCAACATTATGCAATAACTTCAGGGACAGTTCGACGAATAGGATCGAATGGGATCGAATAATTCATCTCGTTGAATCTCTCGTGCTTCGATTCCTTTCAATTTAGAGGGAATACGGGCCGCCAGTCTCTCTTCTATTACGTAAATAACTACGTACCTTGAAATCATCCCGGGCATGCGATCCCCTCGATTCTTTTCTGTTCTCCGCGCCGAACATAATGTGCAAGCAGACCAGCATCAAGTTTTGCAATTCCAGAGCCTCGACGAGCTCTGTGTTCCAAATTAACGATTGGTCCTGGACCTGAAGCGTTTCGCAAGCGTCTTAGATCGGAACAGACAATCGTCTAACAATGCTAGATGAAAAAAAAGCGAGCTACGAGACTCGAATAATCGTGTCTCCTCTTCCCAAATTGTCCATTTCTGTTTGTATATTGAACAACAATTGCAGAGAATTTACTGTAGCAAGCTCATACTTCTTATTTTTAATAGCCTGAAATTATGCTACCCTCGAATTCTCCTAATCCGCGTGCTGCTTCGAAGCACGCTAACTCGTCTTTGCCATAAATGCATAAAATCCGCGATTTGCTAATCGCTATTGAGCGATTAAAGTGATAATAGTCGTTCGAAACGGTCATCAGAATTGTTAATGATTACAACGATTAGATCAGAGTTCCGACAACGGTTAATATTCGATCACATCGGCGCGACGGCGCGCGTTATGCATGTTCCGATTACATCGACGACAGAATTGCACCGACTTAGCGCACTTACGTAACAATCGCTCCAGGAGCCGCTATGATCGGTAATACGTTCTTACGTAAACGGCAGAAAAAAATATATCGTTTGATTCACCTACACATATGTCCGGCAGGTCGCAGGTGTAAAGACGCGTCAGCTCGCGGCATCCCCGTTGCAGCACGTCGCAGGTGCGGAACACCGAGCAGTATCTTTGCATAGTCTGTTGCATCTCCTCGCGCAGCTCGGCGACCGGTATGCAGCCTTTCGCGAAACGTGTCGCATCGAAACGGCAGACCGACTGCTCGCTGACAGCCTGTTCGCAAAATATCGTTCGTCAGAAACCCTTCTGTACCCTACAGAATACAGTAAATTCTCTCCAATTGTCCCTCAGCTTGTGTACGACAAATGGACTATTTGGGAGAAGGCAAATTTCGGAGGGAAAATCGTCCATTTTCGCGTACAATCTGAGCGTCGATTAGGAAGAATTTACTGCAATCGCGAAGCGCTGATCGAGTCGCAAGAATTGGGTTTTGACGATCCTCTTCAGGATCGAACACCCTGATTTCTCGCGAATCTTCTCACGAGCCGCGAAAGAATTACAGTAATGTCTCTCTAATTGACGCACAGATTGTCCACAAAAATAGACGATTTTGGAAGAGAAGACACGATTATTCGAGCCTTGCAACTCGTTTTTATGGTTACCAATTGTTAACAATTATAAAAAAAGCGAGCTGCAAGGCTCGAGTAATCGTATCTCCTCTTCCCAAACTGTCCATTTTTCTGCACAATCTGAGCGTCGATTAGGGAGACATTACTGCAATCGCGAAGCGCTGATCAAGTCACAAGAATCGACTTTCGAGGATCCTCTTCAGGGTCGATCGCACTCGAGAAAGAGCATAATCATCCTTACGGCTGACAAGTCCTCGTGTCGTTCGCCGGGTCTCGTCATGCAGTCGATCTGGTCGGCGATCGCCTTGCCGAAGACGACCAGCTCTAGAAGGCTGTTCGCGCCCAGCCGATTGGCTCCGTGGACCGAGGCGCATGCGGTTTCACCGGCAGCCCACAGTCCTTCGATCACCTTGTCTTCCTCGTCCTCCCGCGTCAGAACCTTGGAAAATGCCGTGGAAAATTGCCAGTCGGTGATTCACGGCACGCGCGCGCGCACACACGGTTTACTATTGTGCACGGCTCGCGGATTCAGTTAGCCGGATCGCTTTTCCCTATACGTCACCTGTGCTTTCCAATTGGTCGGCACGCCACCCATGTTGTAGTGGCTCGTCGGTATCACCGGGATCGGTGATTTCTCGATGTTCACGCCGGCGAACACCCAGGACAAGTGCTTGATACCGGGCAGCTTCGTGCGCAACGTCTCCGCCGGCAGGTGATGCAGTTGCAGGAACATGTGGTCCTTCTTCGGGCCGACGCCTCTAAATTGTATCAGTTCGGTCATCAAGATTAGGTATTCGGTATTAGGATTATAGGATGTGCTTGAAGGAACCGAGCGTTTTTCGTTGGACGTATTTTATTCGAATAATAAATAACGGGTCGAATTTTATTCGTAGAATTTATTTGAAATGTTATTCGAATCAAAGTTGATTCGAAGCGTCCCGTAATTATGTTAATAGTCGGAAAAGATTCCCGAGGTGATTTCGAGTAACTTTTTCCTTTGCGAAAATGCGATCCGCGACTTCGTTTACGAGTTATTAACGAAAAACACAGGGAGTTCGCTGACGCTCCGCCCTCGTGACCACTGCCGCCGCGACAGATGGCCGGCGCAACGCGGCATTGGCCGGAAGGGCGGAGCGCTCACCGCGCTCGCTTGCCGATTGGTCACGGTTTTTCGTTGATAACTCGTAAACGAAGCTGCGGATCGCATTTTCGCTAAGGAAAAAGTTGCTTCAAATTACCTCGGGAATCCTTTCCGAGTGTTAAGATAATTATGGGACACCGTGTATACTTCGAATTAAATCTGTCATCAATCACCCTGTATGCTTCGAATAATTTTGAATAAAATTTCGTTCGACAAAACTATTCGATGGATATATTCGATACGTTAGTCGAATATAATTTTATTCGAAGAATTTCTTCGAATGATTACTCGATGCAATCAACGTTAGCAGCCGCAAAGCAAGATTTTCATTAAGAGAAGATAATTAGCTTCGACCTACATAGTTTCCATTCGGATAAAGGCAAGAATTTCTAGTGTTTATAAAAACATACAGCTGTTAGTATCGTCTCCACGCGACTAGACTGTAAATCTCCATAAAAATCTACCTAGGAAAAATATATTGAAAAACAAGATAAACAATATAATTGACTCTACATTTATGTACATACTCAAGAAGATCTTTTCTCAAGAAGATCCGCAGTACGAGCGTTAACATAGTGCTTTCACGGTCGATGTTATTTACAATGTTTTAAAAACTTTTACAAACAGAAGCAATCGCAATTCCACCCGTAATTAACAAATTGTTCGCGTAAAAATTTCTTCTGTTATTTCAAAAAGAAAATTATCGAGGATTCTTCTAAATCCAACTCGCATACAGATCGCACTGGCTTCGCTAAATCGTTATCGCTAATATTTTGATTCAATTCGTTGGTCACCTGCCCTCGAATATCTCCACGGTAATTGCCCGCGAGACGACGTCGCGCGAGGCCAGATCCTTCGCGTTCGGGGCGTACCGTTCCATGAAGAATTCTCCGTTGGAGTTCAGCAGCTTCCCGCCTTCTCCCCTGCTGCCCTCCGTTATCAGAATTCCGGTCCCGTATATGCCTAACGGAAGATATTACTGACGTCGCGCGAAAAGAATTTCCCACGAGAAATATTGTTTCCCTCCCCCCCCCCCCCCCCCCCTGAGTTGGGATAGGTTATACCGGTCGGATGGAATTGGACGAATTCCATGTCCTGAAGAGGCAATCCTGCTCTCGAGGCCATCGCCATTCCGTCGCCGGTGCAGGTGTGCGCCGCGGTGCACGATAAATAACATCTTCCTGCTCCTCCCGTTGCTAACATCTGCGGCGAAATTGATAAACTCGTGTCACAGATGTCGACGGAAGCACGCGCGCAATGCGCGGGCATCGCGTATCATCACACACACGCAAACAGAGTGTCCGATTCCGGTCGATTATTGTGAGCCTCGAACGGCCGCGCGTTTCGTTTCCGACGCCGATCGAATTCTCGAACGGTGAAACCGTTTGCGAGCGGAATTTCAGTTTAACGAAAGATCGCCGGACGCGATTTGCTTTTCGTCGTGGAAGCGCGACGCGCGCAATTGATATCAGCGAGTTCTTTCCAATTGACTCTTAATTCAGCGAATATGAGTCGCCGAAGCTTCGGCTATGAAATAAAGCGGAGACGGAGAGATCTGGTTTCGTAGACGATGTTCGTCGATGAACACTTTGTACAAACATTGGCGAAAAGTATTTTCGAGCACCTTTCGAAAAGCAATACATTTTTTTTTCAAACCGGACTAAGCGACTCGAATTTTTGTTTAAAAGTGTTAAAGGTTGGGTTGGCTACAATGCCGTTTTCTAATTTTGCTGTTACAGCAAATTCTCCCTAATTAACGCTCAGCTTGTACACATATTATCAAAACAATTTCACAACTCGATTATGCCACTTGCAACTCTCTAAATTGATTCGATAAGAGAAAAGGAACTTAAAGGACTTAACTTCGATAAGATTGACATATTTGCATGCAGCTTTAGCAGATTTAACACAAGACTTTATGATTCGTTGTTTTAAATCTGTCAACACTGGATGCAATTGTGTCAATCTTATCGAAGTTAAGTTCCTTTAAGTTCGTTTTTTAATTAGATGCAAGTAACATAATCGAATTGTGAAATTGTTTTAATATATAGCATCACCGTTTTGTAGTTCATCTGCTCGTTTTCTTTTTTTTCATAGATGCATACACTTATCACGATTTTAAGACTGATTTTTACTGATTTTTCGATTCTCCGTCATTCGTCATAACTTGTGCTTTCTTCTTGTTGTTATAAAAGTGGGAATTTATCCGTATATATATATATATAAATATATAATACAAATAAATAAATATAAATAATATAAATAATAATATATATAATATAATATAATAATATAATATAATAATATAATAATAATAATATAATAATAATATAATAATAATATAATATAAATAAATATATAAATATATAATTATAATAAATATATATGAATAAATAAGCTGGCAGGTTCAACGTTAAATTGCAATTGCAGTAGCGTCGATGGTGTTGCAAGATGCGTCGACGTAGATAGAATGGTTTACCGTGTGATGAGCCCTGAAACGATGCAAGAGGCCGGTTTCCAGTTCCCACGCCAAGACGCCCTTGCAGCAACGGCCGAGCATGAGGAGATCAAGGGCGAAGTACTCGACGAAATAATGCACCTCGTAGCGGAGGGACTGCCCGTATAATGTGTGCAATATCGCGTGACCGGTTCTATCGGCGACGGCGCATGTTCTTTGTGCTATGCCGCCTTTTCCGAACTTCAACGACTGGCCGCCGAATGCTCGCTGATAGATCGTTCCGTCCTCCTTGCGACTGAACGGACAGCCTAGACATGCGGAACGTTAAAATGATGGAAAAAAACTATAGTATTTTTAAATATAGTATATACATATATTGTATTTATATATATATATACTATATTTAAATACTATAATAATATAATATATAATATATTATTTATATAGTATTTATATATTATTATTATTATTATTATTATTATTATTATTATTATTATTATTATTATTATATATTTAAATGCTATATGAATACTATAATAATATAAAATATATAATATATTATTTATGTAGTAAATAGTATTTTTATATATATATTATATTATTATTATTATTATATTATATTTAAATACTATATAAGTACTGTAATAATATAATATATATAATATATATAGTATTTAAATATACAGTATCTTAACTATTCAGATAATCCCGCAAATATCAGCTCAGATTTACAGTCCGGGTCCCAGTGGACCCAGTCGCCCGTCCAAGTATTAAAAGCAGACGTTCAAGCTTCCGTTCGATATAGCACAGTTATTGGAAACATTCCGAACTCAGACAGCGGATTTTTATGCAAAATGAACATCGTCTGCGTCAATTAGAAGCTGCAGAGGCTGCGTACACGTTTAATTCGTTTGCTACGAATTAAATCGCGTAATGAACTGTTTTGAAGCCCTCGATCGAAGTCAGCGCAGATATTACCATAATTCTCGAGTTCGTATACGGCGCGCGGCGCCTCCCTGGTTAAAAAGTGTATCGCATCTTGGTCCCCGAGCCAGTCGGATCCTTTGACGGTGTCGTACATATGGTACAGCCAGTTGTCGTCGGCCTCCGCGTTGATCGCCGCGTTGATTCCACCTTGCGCGGCCACCGTGTGCGATCTCGTCGGGAATAATTTCGTCACCACCGCCACACGGTAACCCTTGCTTCCTGAACGACGAAAGGTGGAACGTGCGAACGAATTGCCTCGGAAATATACAGCGAATTCTCCCTAATCGACACTCGGATTGTGCACAGAGATTGGACAATTTGGAGAAGAGAAGACACGATTACTCGCGACTCGTTCTTTGTATATAGTTACCGATTATTAACAATTATAAAAACAATTTGTTTCCAAGCTGAGCGTCAATTAGAGAGAATTCGGCGAACAGCACGGATTTGAATCTCACCTAAACCGAACGCAGCCCTTAATCCCGCGCCCCCAGCGCCGATGATCACAACGTCGTAGCAGTGATCGATCATAGGATAATTCTGAAAGGAAGATTTCGACCGTCCAATGGCCGCGTTAACGATATAACAGGCAATAACGATTAACGGGCAAATTGACCCTTTGCACTCGGAGAATGTTCTCGGACCGGTTATCTAATACTCGAGGTAGAAAGCAACGCATCGAAGAAGCCATGAAACGATAGAACGTTGGTGATACAGTAATTTCTCCCGGAAGTGCCGTATTTCGGGTTGCTGTGAATTTCCCTGTGCTAATTCTATGCCTGTGTAATTTATTGCAATGCTAAGGGTCGACGGAATTGCCGAATTGCCTTCGAATCGTGTCATTTTGTCTCTGAATTGCCTTTCGTCGTGTCATCTGTCCACCGAATTGCCTTCGAATTGCTCTTGGATCATGTCATGTGGCCTTTGAATTGCCTTTAATTGTACCATGTGCCCCTCGAATTGTCTTCAAATTGCCTCTGAATCATATCATGTGGCCTCTGAATTGCTTTTAATTGTGTCACGTGGCCTCCGAATTGCCTTTAATTGTGTCACTTGGTCTCCGAAATGCCTTGAATCGTGTCACGTGGCCTCCGAATTGCCTTGAGTCGTGTCACGCGCCCTCCGAATTGCCTTCGAATTACCTCTGAATCATATCATGTGACCTCTGAATTGCTTTCAATTGCGTCATATGGCCTCCGAATTGCTTCCGAATCGTGGCAAAGAAAAATGGAAATAAAAAAGCTTCATATTAATAAGTTTCTCTAAAAACGAACCGCGAGTCCCGAAGAATCGCAACTTAGTATTCTCGGATCTGTCGGTTTCGATTCCAATCTCCGAACATTTCCGGGAGAAATTACTGCAATTAGACCGTTTAAGTAGAATTCGACGAAGAAACACGGTGAAACATCGGTTTTGAACGTGGCATAAGTACCAGCAGTTTTGTCGCGGACGATATCCGAGTGCAAAGGGGTTTCGCAGTCGTCGAGAGGGCACGTTACGTTGTCGCTATTCTCCTTTCCGCATTTCGATTTCTCCCCGGGGCTGACGTTTATATGAAAACCCCGCGAACCTTGTTTATCGAAGCGTCGAGGTTGTTTCACGAAACGCTGGAAAAATATCGAACGATAAAGTCGGCTCCGTGCGCGACGAGCGCAGCCTCGCCTGTCACGTTTGCAACGCGTCTTTCTTACAAGAAATCCTGACAACCGATCAAGGGATCGTAACATCGCAACCGTCTAGAAGTGTGTTTTCGACGCGATCCTCGGTCTCGGTTACGCCGCACGCGAGAAATCTTTGGTTCTCGGTCGTTCGTCATTTGATTAGAGAAACAGGACCGCGCGCTACTTTCAGGCTGCGGACACCGGTACTCGGTTAAATCACAGTTTATGGTGATTATCCGCGAGCTTTGGACACGCGTTGCGATGTGCCGTCGTGTCGGATCCGTTTCGCAAAATAAAAATGTTCTGCGGCGGCCGCGGGAACTGCAAGTAACAATTGTTTCCTTACATTCAGTCACTTTAACCCTCTACAGCTCGATGTAACCCTGAGTTGCGGGCTTATCCAGGCCCTTTTCATCCAATTTAATTTTTAGCAACAATGTGAACGAAGTTTCTTGCTTTTTTAGCTTGCTTGTTCTTGCTTCTTCTCCACTCTCGCTTCGCGTCTCGGAGTAAACTGAATTTCTGTATAATTCGCGAATTTTTCGTTAATTTACATCTCTTATATTTCGTATATTTTTTATGTGCGATTATAATTATGTGTATACATATTTTTCGTACAAATTATACTGGGAGAAATTGAACCTGTGAGCAAATAAATTACAGTAAATCTCGAGATGTAAATTTTGTCGAGTCTCGAACGACGTAAATTTTGGACAACCCTGTAAAAAGTCCGATTGTAAAGGGTTGATAAATTCAGAATAGTATGTCGATGTTCCTGGACTTCTCTAAGCTCGATATTGGTCGAATGGAATTCTACCTAGTCATTGTCGTTGTAAATGTATAAAATGTATGCTGTCTAGTTAGCAGAGTCATCATTATTAACACGTTACCCGTTGCGAGATTCTAGTTTTTCAGACTCTAGTTTTTCCCAGAAACTGCAATTTATGATCGCTAATTCGTGCTCGTATCCTTTCAATGGGACATTGTTACTCGGAACATTGGATAATTGAAAAATTTCATTTTCGAACGATGTTCTTTCGTGCGAGTTAGCTGGACCCGAAATAGGTCCGAATCAGGTGGACCACGATAATCTATATCTCGTAGTAAATGTCTCGCGAACATGTTAATTAACACTGCACAGTGCCGAACATATTTTCCCGCAGGTCTTGAAAATGAATGTCCAGGAAATTGTTCGAAATTCGTTCGGAACGATGACCGATGTATTTCGAGAAGGCTGAGATCGACGAGAAGACTGAAACAATCATCGTTACAGTTTCGTACAAGCATAACCTTTTATTGCACTTGCAAAAATACAGTTCGAAACATAGACGATTTATCGGTACAATTATTACAATGGTTGATTAATTTGACTCGCGCGAAGGCTCTTTCTTCTTCTCCGCAGGCTGTTCCTCTTTGGTATTGTTCGGACACCTTGAGAGCCGATGGTAACTAGTAGATAATTAAAGACTATACAGAGTATCCAAAAATTATGTTACTTCTGGGAAATGGGGGGTTCCTCGCGTCGTTTCAAGTAACTTTTTCCTTTGAGAAAATGCAATGCGCGGCTTCGTTTACGAGCTATCAAGGAAAATCCGTGACCAATGAGAGATCGCTGACGCCCCGCCCTCGCGACCACTGCCGCTGCGCCAGACAGCCGGTGCGACACGGTATTGGCCGCAAGGGCGGAGCGCCGGCCGCCCTCGCTCCGCGATTGGTCAGTGTTTTTCGTTGATAACTCGTAAACGAAGCCGCGGATTGAATTTCCGCAAAGGAAAAAGTTGCTCCAAATGACCCGAGGAACCTCCCATTTCCGGATTACGAGACATTTTTGGGCCACCCTGTAGAAACGCTGTTCGAACGAGCCGGTTATCCAGCCTCGTCGACGGTTACCGATCGTTAGATTCGTTAACAAACGTCGGCTACCCGGTCGCCACCCTTAATCACCGGCCCTAATCAATCGAGGTACATCTATCAACGGAAATCGTTCGGCTTATGTTACGGTTACTTTATTCAACACACCGTGATACTTGATACATAGCGTGATCGATCGATCCACCTCGTTTAGTGCTCACTCGTATAAAAAAGCTTACAAAAAACGTTACGGTCGGAGTATTGTGCAGAACGTTTCGTACAACGAACGATACCATTAAGAAGGCAGTGAGGATCCGGATAAAACAACCAGCGAGGGAACGCAAGACGAATTTTCACGGGGGAAACGTTGTTTCCGTTAAGACGTTAACGTTCAAAGAAAAAGAAGAGAAACGGTTTCAATTAGTTTCGAAGAAACAGAATGGCTGTATGTATTTATCGTTGACCCGCTAATTGCGACGTTTCTTGTAGAATTAATCTGTAGAAAAGAAAACCGGTTCCGTTAGGCGAAGACCAACTCGAAATCGAGTGCAGCACGAACGTAGGCGAGATGTGCGCGATTAACGGTAACCAACGATCAACGAAAATAACGGAGAACCTACGGATTAATATTCTCGTGTACAATACGATTTCCATGTACAGTAATGTCTCTTTAATTGACACTGAGATTGTGCAAAAATATGCGACAATTTGGGAAGAGGAGATACGATTATTCGAGTCTTGCAGCTCGTTTTTATAGTTGTTGACAATCGATAACCATAAAAAAATGAGCCACAAGGCTGGAACAATCGTATCTCCTCTTCCGAAATTGTCCATTCTTGTGGACAATCTGAGCGTCAATTAGAGAGACATTGCTATATACGCACACATACACGATATCCGTTCGTTGCATTCAAGCAGGATCGTTCGATTCATTTGCGACATCAATGTCGATACCTCGGATCCAATAATTATTAGAATGATTAAAATCGATTACTAAGAACTAATCTCATGCTATTCCATGCAACGTACTAAGAGACGAAACAGAAAAAAAAACAAAATGCTCGGCTAAAATGTTTCGCTAAAAATTCTGAGCTCGATGAAAATTCACGAAACAGTTTATACAATTCGGATTAATGCGACAGAAGAATATAATTGTCTTTTTAACCATTTGCACTCGAGAAGTCATTTCAATTGTAAATTTAAGATAATTTTTCTGACTCACAGTTTTATTTCCATTTTATGTGAGAAACTGCATTCCATGCATATGAAATCGAGTATTGTGGCGACTCGTACAACAGTTAAGCTTTCAACGATTTTTTAAATCTAAACTTTGTTAATATAACAATTATCTTGGAACGTGATATAACGATTTTAGCGGCGCCTCGGAATCACCACTCGAGTGCAAAGGGTTAAAACGTGTGCGTTTACGAGTCCCAATTAAAATGCGACAAGTTTCGACGCGCTGGTAGAGCATACAGTAATGTCTCTCTAATTGACGCCCAGATCGCGCACAAAAATGGACAATTTGGGAAGAGGAGATACGATTATTCGAGCCTCGCGGTTTATTTTTATAGTTATAAATTGTCCACAATTATAAAAAGCGAGCCGCAAGGCTCGAATAATCGTTTCTTTTTATAGTTATAAATTGTCCACAATTATAAAAAGCGAGCCGCAAGGCTCGAATAATCGTTTCTTTTTATAGTTATAAATTGTCCACAATTATAAAAAGCGAGCCGCAAGGCTCGAATAATCGTTTCTTTTTATAGTTATAAATTGTCCACAATTATAAAAAGCGAGCCGCAAGGCTCGAATAATCGTTTCTTTTTATAGTTATAAATTGTCCACAATTATAAGAACGAGCCGCGAGGCTCCAATAATCGTTTATTTTTATACTTATAAATTGTCCACAATTATAAGAACGAGCCGCGAGGCTCCAATAATCGTTTATTTTTATAGTTATAAATTGTCCACAATTATAAGAACGAGCCGCGAGGCTCGAATAATCGTTTATTTTTATAGTTATAAATTGTCCACAATTATAAAAAACGAGCCGCAAGGCTCGAATAATCGTATCTCCTCTTCCCAAACTGTCCATTTTAGTGGACAATCTGAGCGTCAGTAAGGGAGACATTTCGCTCGGCTTCGAAAGGACTCGTAAATTCCTCGAAGACCGGAAATTTCTCCAACAGTTGACGCAACGATGCGAAATCGAAATCGTTTTCTCGAAACGCAATGTTCTGTGCCAGCTAACGTCAAACCCTATGAACTAGTTTCACGCGATAAGATGAATTACGTTTCGCTCGACTGTATCGATTATACAAACATTTTCGTCGGTTCTATCATCTGCAATTGACGTAATTGTTCCATTCGTGTTCCCTAATTGTACTGAGAAATTCGATCGTTTCATTGACAATCCTCTCGATGAGCCCGCGGACATGTGACTAGAATGTACGTAGCGGTTCGATCATTTAATCGCTCTTAGTTTTCTACGCTGCAAGAATAAATTCTTCTTCGTCTAACGACTAAGTTCACGAGTATAGTAAATTCTTCCTAATTTTCCTTGAGCTTGTGGACAAAAATGGACAATTTGGGAAGAGGAGATGCGGTCATTTCTCCCTAATTCGCGCTCAGATTGCGCACAAGAATGGACTATTCGGGAAGAGGAGATACGATTATTCGAGCTTAGAGCCTCGTTTTTATAATTGTTGAGGATTGGTAAATGTAAAAAGGAGCCACGAGGCTCGAATAGTCGAATCTCCTCTTCCCAAATTGTCCATTTATGCGCGCAATCTGAGCGCGAATTAGGGAGAAATTATTGTACGATTATTCGAGTCTTGCGCCTCGTTTTTATAATTGTTGACAATTGTAATTATAAGAAATGAGCCGCGAGACTCGAATAATCGTATCTCTTCTCAAAGTGTCCATTTTTGTGTACAGAAAATTCTCCCTAATTTTCCTTCAGCTTTCAAACAAAAATGGAAAATTTAGGGAATTGGCGGCTCATTTTTATAGTCGCTGATCGACAACAATTTAAAAAAATAACGAACCACGGAGGCTCAAATAATTGTATCTCCTCTTCCCAAATCGTCCATTTTCGTTTAGAAGCTGATGGAAAATTAGGCAGAATTTATTGTACATATTCGAAAATAATATTCTCGTTTCTTTTTCAATTCCGTGGTGCTGTGGTATCAGTTCGTCGAGTTTAACGGGACGACTCGAATGTAAACGCGATGCCTCGCTTCGAAGAACTCGACGAAACCAACGATGCGAGTCGCGAATTTATGACGCGTGTGCAGATTCGTTACGGAGCAATTTACAGTAAACCGGAATCGAACGGAAAGCCTCGCCTCCGACGATCCCCGAAACAATGAAAATCTACAACGGCGGCCTACAACTAAAAGAACTGTGTTTCACTAATCCTATCGTTAATTAAATAACCGGTTATTGTACTAAAAAACAAAAAAAAAACGTAATCGCAACGGATGGCATCCGATTGATTCATGCGCGCCACACTACAGCACTGTATCTACATTTACTTGCCATCGGACCAACGACGTTGTTTCACTAAGAAAAGAAATGGCACTCGCTTCGCCCCGATCGAACGGCTTCTCTGAAAAAGCGCTCGTGACTTTCGTCGAGTCATTTACCGCCGGCAATCTGTTCAACGGGGTATTCTGATGCGAATCTTTCGAAAATATCGATTCTTTACAATTTCTTGTGGGACATATGTTGAAAAATGCGACTGGAAAACCTTGCGACCGACTTCTTAAAATTGAGGAAGTTACAGCTACAGTGATTTCTCCCTAATTCGCGCTCAGATCGCGCACGAAAATGGACAATTCGGGAACAGGAGATTCGATTATTCGAGCTTAGGGTTCTCGCTTTTATACCTGTCGATCGATAACTATAAAAACGAGCCGCAAAACTCGAATAATCGCATCTCCTCTTCCCAAAATTATCCATTTTTGTGCGCAATCTGAGCGCGAATTAGGGAGACATTATTATAGTTCGAGAGTATGTTTAACTCAAAGTTTACTCGACGTTACTGAAATATGCATAAATAAATTGCAGATGCGACTGCAATGGTGTCTTCGCAAACAAAAAGTAATCCCGAAAGAGAGTCGAACGAAAACGCAATTTACGCTAGAACACCCCTTGACACAGTTTTTTTCATTTTTTATGTACGCATGTTTCTGTTCATCTGTTCAGTATATTTCCCAAACCGGTGTTCTCGAAACAAAATCTGTTCGTTCCAATTCCATTCGTTCCGTCTTCTAATCGCATTCAGGCCGCTTTACACGAAGACGTTTCGTCGGGCTTCTTCCGCCGCTGTTCGACCCTCAAAGAACGAGCCTCCTGATGCCGCATTCGCAGCAGAATTTCGCGGTCTCCGGGAACTTGGAGCCGCACTCGTGGCAGAATTTCGACAGCTTGCTTCTGGACGGCGTCGCTCCGTCGGCGTCGCTTCTCCCGCGATTCTGTCTCGGGTGGTCCTCGTCGAGGCGACCCGCCACGTCGTTGGTGCTGCGTCCATGGTGCGAATATTTTCGATTTAAACTAGGAGGAAGAGAAATCGAACGGGGCTTTAGGCGTGCAGGAGACGGACACTCGGTGCCGGGAATTAGATTAAAGGATTGACCCATTGACATGCGAGCGAAACGGAATTTGATGCGTCCGAGAAATACTGAATTTAATTTGGCTCAACTGAAAAATTATGTGCGAGCTGAGGAAGAGAATGTTTTATTTCGAAATTCGAATTACCGATTTGTGGGCGCAATTTTGGCGTCTTGAACATTGTAAAGATACCAGAATCGACGAGTAAAGCAACAGAATAATTTAATAATATAAATCTAATACAAGGTGTGCCAGAATTATTGTACAAGCGGGAAACGAGGGGTTCCTGAGGTGATTTGAAGTAACTTTTTCCTTTGCGAAAATGCAATCCGCGGCTTCGTTTACGAGATATCAAGGAAAATCCGTGACCAATGAGAGATCGCTGACGCTCCGCCCTCGCGACCACTGCCGCCGCGTCAGACGGCCGGCGCAACGCGGCATTGGCCGAAAGGGCGGAGCGCCATCCGCGCTCGCGCTCCGATTGGTCGAAGCCCAGTTGCGCACTGTTTTTCGTTGATATCTCGTAAACGAAGCCGCGGATTGCATTTTCGCAAGGGAAAAAGTTACTTCAAATGACGTCAGGAACCCCCCGTTTCTGATCTAATATAAATCTAATAATGTACCCACGAAAACAGCTCTTGACGAGTTAGACTCGTCGAAGTCTACAGTGGCACATGAAATGAATAACGATTCCAACTAGTCATCGTATGTCAAGGGGTTAATTACAGTAAATTCTCTTCAATTGTCTCTCGACTTTTAAGCAAAAATGGACAATTTAGAAAGAGCAGAAATACGATTTGTAGCTTTGCGGCTCGTTTTTATGCTCGTTGACAATCGGTAACCATAAAATCGACCCACGAGGCTCCAATAATCGCATCTCCCCTCCCCGAATTGTCCTAATTTTCGCGTACAATCCGATCACGAATCAAAGCAAATTTACCGTAACGATATAATTAAAAACCATCGATAAAATCCCGTTTCCAAGATTACAAAACGCAACACGAACGAGAGGTCTCCGTTTACGATCACAAATTCTTATCTGTGTGTAAATAAAATATGTTTATTAACCTGCTGTAGGCGGAGTCGCCGCTGAACTTGCCATGGTCCTGCCTCTTGTAGCTCTCGGGCGAAGACAGGTCCTCGTCGCTGTTCCGATCGTTGCGCGGCCTCCGATGGACAGGGCTAGAGACGGACAAGGGATCGTTCTTTAGGAGGGACTTAAGGGACGCGAAGGAGCCGTTGTCGTCGTCGAACGAGGTCATCAGCTCGTCGAACACGGAGTTCGACCGTTTGATGTCCACGTCCGAGGACACGATGGAGCTCAGGCTGAGATTGCTGGCCGACATGTTCGCGTAATTGTTGTTTCGATTGTTCAGGCTGGTGTTCGAGGACCTCTGCGACTCGTTGGCCTTGTCCGACGATCTCTTAGCGTCGTTGGGGCTCGAGCTCGTTTTGTCGAGGGTGGCTTTGGGAGCGGAGGATGCCCGGACGGAGAAGGAACGGCCGACCGTCGGCCGAACCACCTTCGGCGAGACTTTGTCGAGAATCTTGCGAGCTCTCTCGGAGCTGGCAACGAAACTCCTGCTGCCACGGTCGTGCTCGTCGGCGATCTCGCCGCCCAGGGCTTTCGACTTGTCGATGATCACCCGTCTCCCTAATTCTCTGACGGGCGACCTCTTCTCGTCGCCCGGTTTCGCGGCGTTCTCGTCCTTCAGGTAGACCTCTCGGCACAGCGAGTTCGTCTCCGTCGAGTCGCTCGAGAAATCGGACGCGAGGTCGTCGAATTCCGTGGGCGGAGCTATCAAGGACGATCGTTTGCCAGGGTTCAGGCTGGTCGGGCAGGGATATTTCACGAACGCCGAGGAATGGGAGAGGGGGAACGGGGCCTCGCGGTTTTGCGCGAGCACCGGGCTGTCCCTCACGGATTGCTCGCTGGCATCCGATAGCAGGTCGTTCATCTGCTGTTCCGCTAGCAGGAAGGGATTGTAATCCTTGCCGCTGAAAGCAAGAAGATGATTCTGTGACAACGGTGCCGCGCCGAGGATCATTCGCGATAATGCAGAGGGTGGGAGGAGCCAATTACCGCGCCCTGATGGCGGGCTCGAGGAGTCTTCGTTGTTGAAAATCATTTCGGTGATTTAAGTGCGATTTTTTCTTGGGAACTTGAGAAATTGTTGCTATCGCCTAACCTTTTTGGAATATTCGATGGAAGAGAATGTGTTCTGCAGCCGGAACTGCCGGTTACTGTGCTCCCTATCCGGATATCGTGCTTCGATTACTGTGCACGATGAGACTTTGATGTTTAACGTGCGTTGATAAATTTTATTTTTTTATAGAAAGAGTGAAATATGATCTTGTGTCGTAATCTTTCCTGAACGTTGTAGATATTAATAACCGATAAAAAAATATAAACAAATATAACCAAGATAAATAATGTAAAATATATAAGCATAAAATATAATTAACATATAAATATGAATATAAAATATAAACATATAAAAATAATATAAAATAATATAACCAAAATAAATAATATAAAATATAATTAACATATAAATATAAATATAAAATATAAACATATAAAAATAATGTAAAACGTAAATATAAAATACAATATAAAATATAAACATAAATAATCAAGACAAGCTTTAATGCTGACCATAAGAGAATACGGAAGAATTTTGAAAATATTAATCACCTTTATCGATTTTACTAATTTGTCGGGAGATTATCAGGCTTCGATTGGAAACATCGGAACCACGTTATGTCGTAAAACGATTAGGTGTCGAGTGCCACGATAATAATCGAGGTTGTCCGTATCGTCGAGTATTTGTGAGACCGTGATTCATCGGATATGCGATCCGATGTAGGAAAATTAACGTTACGAATTCCATCGAGAAAGCATGTTTCATCGACGTGTGATCAGATTGCGGATTTTTCGTTTCGTGGTTAAATAAAACTGAAGGTGTTACATTCGTCTATTCGTTCGCATAAGTGTCTGTTTGCATTTCAAATATGCCAGACACGCGTAACAGGATCCTCGGTCCGATTACGATGTAGAATTTTTAATGTAACAGGTGTCGTTTCCGCGAGTACATAAACGTAAGTTTGTCGGAGCAGCTTATCTAAATTCGTCAGCTAAATATCATCGACGCGACATAGTGTTTACGTTTCGATCGCGAGGGCGTGTCTACTTGTTTTTCTTATCAGTCATCTGCTTCCGGCGATTGGACTTCCACGTAATGGAAAAAAGAGAGAACAGCTACGCATTTCTCAACCCTTTGCGCTCGAGTGGCGAGTCCGCGGCGTCGCTAAAAATTGTCGTATCATTTTTCAAAGTGTAATGGTAACGATAACAGATTTGTTTATACCTAAAAAGAACTGTTGAAACTGCAATTATTGTACTTGCAAATAGGCATAAATCGCATTGAATCGTATGAAATGGAAATACTGTAGATCAGAAAACATGTTTCCGTTTTCGAAATTAAAATAGCTTCGACTGCAAAGGGTTAACCCTTTGCACTCGAAACCATTTTAACTGTAAATCTAAAATAATTTTTCTGACTTATAGTATTTCCATTTTATATGACAAAGTGCATTTTATGCATATAAAATTGAGTCTTGCGATGGCTTGTGATGACAATTATACTTTTAACAAGTTTTTAAATTTAAACTTTATTAATATAAAAATTATCTTGGAACGTGAATGAACAGTTTTAGTGGTGTCTCAGAGTCATCACTCGAGCGCAAAGGGTTAAATTTTCGTTGCAGGTTCAGATGAGAAAAAGAGCGAGTATTTTTTATCTTTCATTGTCATTTTACCTAATAGCAGAATTAAGAAAAAGTATGCTGGTCACTGTACCATAAACTACCTTTACTACCACCCTTTAACACTTAAAGAAAGATTCGAGTCGATTAGGCCATGCAAGGAATTTATGTTTTACACAAAAGATCCGCAATCTAATAAAAAACAATGCCTGATGAACTGTTGCTCGAAAACGAAAAAGGTAATTTATAACAGAGGATCGAAAGAGAAAAACATCTCCAACCATGAAACATTCGTGCTATGCGTGTCTCATAATTCCATTCATCGAAATTACATAAACTCAACTTTCTCAAAGTTAGAGCAAAGTGCCTGAAAAGTGACGATGACGGCAAGCAAAAATTCCAAAAAATTGTCGTCGGTCCATGCTGTGAAGAACTCCGAAACTGAATATATGTATATATGTATATATAATATGTATATAATAATATATGTATATTCCGTCAAATGAGAAACTTGCTGCGCTTTCTATTCTATGTAGAAGACGAGCGTTGTTGGTTTCGTCAGCGTTTACGCAGGAGGAGATAATGAAGTGTACATAGAAAATGTATGTCAAGCCCCTCTCAGCCTTAGGCGAATCTGTGAAGCATTTTCTTCGATCAAGTTTCCAAAGCGTATCTCTAAGCGACGGGGAAATGCACGGGTTTTGGGGATCATGCGACACAATGTAACACCGATAAACGTGCCAGGACGGTGGGAACCATGCCAATTTTCACGAAATATATCGGACGAAAGGACTCGCAGCGATTTTCCAGAAAACTGTGATCGCGAGATACAAAATTTTCTGTTTAACGACAGGATGATGGATCATTTTGACGACGATATAATAAACCGACAAGGTTATTTTGGAAGGAACTTGCGATCGTGGATAGCTTTTCCTTTTTTTATATTTGTATCTATATTTTTTATATTTTATATTTTTCAGATTTTATATTTATATTTCTTATATTTTATAGCTTTTTCTTTAGACAGCTTTCGAAACGAAAGTGGATTAAAGTTACACACACACAGTATGTATTAATAAAGAATCCTGATATTAATCAGGATAATAAATATTATATTATAATATTTATTATAATATAATAATAAATATTATATTATATTATATTTTATAATAAATATTATATATATATATTATATTATAATTAAATTAATATCTTTAATAAAGAGAGAACTCATATTAATTAAAGAACCCTGATAAGATTTTTCAAAGTGGGCCTTCGCTTTTGAGATATTTTGATTTCAAGTTTGCATGCATATAGACAACATATACAGGGTGTTCGTTTGAAAACTTTAAATCTAAATATCTCGAGAACAGCACAGAAAGATTCCGTAAAGATGTTAAATATAAAAAGTTACTCGATCCTAAGAAAAAAATAAACTTTCGCACGAAATACTTATCAATCAGATTTTCATCTTACAAAGATATATCTAATAAAATGAACAATTCTTTTACTCGTTATTTTCTTCAAGGTATTACTATTAATACCTAATTGCTATTTTCCTTATTTTGTTCAGGTTTTTCAAACATAATGAAACGTGTGAAAATTGAAATCAATTATAACATAGTCAATTAATCATATTTATATTCCGAGTCCCAACGGGACGGCTTTTTCGCTAGTTTCACCGATATCGAATTCGTTTCCCTGCTTTCACTCGGTTTCTACACCGAAAAATTGCTGCTTATCTATGCGTCCGATATACTTTCTACGAAATTCGACGTGGTCCCGCGACATTCGTGTAGCTGTAGCTGGATGCTTCGACGACATTCTTTCAAGCATCTGCTGGATTAGCAACGAGAGTGAAACGATCCGAAAGTGTGTATTTTACGGGGAACCAGAAATCTGTCGTACATGTAGCGATTTGATCAACCACCTGGAACTTACGTTCTACTGCTAAGTACAAGATTAAAATCCGGTCGTCTGCGCACGTAATTGCTCCATACGGGACGTAATGGCAGTGCTAAGTTCCTACAATAGTTTTTACCGTGTTATTGCACGGTAGAGGGAGAAATCGGCGTGTTATTGATTGGATACAAGATTGAATCCGGAGATACGGTAAAGTTTTCCATAATATTTCTTCGGCTTGTAAACAAAAATTGGACGATTTGGGAAGAGGAGATACAATTATTTGAGCCTCCGCGGTTCGCTTTTTTTTAAATTGTTGTCGATCAGCGACTATAAAAATGAGCCGCCAATTCCCTAAATTTTCCATTTTTGTTTGGAAGCTAAAGGAAAATTAGGGAGAATTTTCTGTACACAAAAATGGACAATTTGAGAAGAGGAGATATGATTATTCGAGTCTCGCGGTTCATTTCTTATAATTACAATTGTCAAAAATTATAAAAACGAGGCGCAAGGCTCGAACAATAAGGCTTCTCTTCCCAAATTGTTTCCCTTCCCATTCTCGTTTACGAGCTGAAGAAAAATTGCGGCGAATTTACTGTACTCGTTTAAAACCAGCGAACGTAAATGTTCAAATCGCGAATATCTTGTCGAATTCCGTCGATTTTTGTTGCAAATATGCAGGTTGTCTCGGCTAAACGAGGCCATTTTTACAGTGCCGTGAATAATTATAAACTCGAAGTAGCTTTTACACTTTTTACTTGATATTTGAACAAGAAGCGAGCAGAAAAGATCAATTTCTATTCTCTATTATTTCTAATATAGAAACGTACACGTGTAATAACAGAATTAAAGGAAGTCATATTAGTCATCGTCTAATAGACTGGTCCTTCTATCATCTAAAAAAAAAATTCAAGTCACTTAGGCCAGTTTTAAAATTTAGTCGAGTTTCAAAAAACTGAGTATATAATATTTTCTGTTATTATTATATTGATTAATATTATTAATAATATTATAATATTATTTTAATTATTATTATTAATAATTATGAATAATATTTCTTTATATCATTACATCAATATAATATTTTCTATTATTTCTAATATAGAAATACACAATCGCGACATATTCTCCTTCAAACATCGCTAAAAATGTAAAAGTTACGTTCGTCAAAGTTAATTATTCGCGTCACCGTACAACTTCGAATACTTTTTCAAAGCAAACCAATCATCCTGACAACTCGCCTCGCATCGCGTTCCATTAATTATTTGCCGTCGAAACGCTGTTCGAAACAAGTCCCCGCGCGAACGCTCATACAAACAAGAAAGTTGTTCCAAGAAACAATTAATTATCGACGTCGAGTAATTTCCGAGCCCATCCCTACCTGCTCCTCCTAAAGAAAGCGCTACTGGAAACGGGAGGAAGGGCGGGTGCTCTCGGATTTCTGTTAAGAAGCCTGCCAGGCCCTTGGCAGGGCAGATCGAGATTAATCAAACGGTTCCTCGACGCGTTCGAGGCGGCCCTCTCCCAGTAAGTCTGTCGGCTGATCGCCTCCGATTTGTTGCTCTCCTTCCGGACCACGATCCTGGTCCTCTTGATCTCCGGCAGCACGCCGAATCCGACGTTCCCGTGCCCGATCTCCTCGATCGTTTCCATCTCGACGGTCTCCAGCTGCTCGACGCCGTCGATCATCGACAAGCCGTCGTTCGAGTCGTTCATCTCGCTCACGTCCTCGAGGAATCGGTTCTCCAGACCGATCAGCCTCGAGTATCGCGACTTGAAAGCCGCGCTCGATGATTTCTTCACCGTCACCCGCGATTCCGACAGGATCATCGGTCCTAAATTCCGCGCGTCGAAAAGGAGGCCGTCCCTCGCGCGAGCGGATCTCGGCCCGGGCATCTCGATCTCGTCCGCGGAATCGTCGCTGTCGCCCTCGAAATCCTTCGACGACGAATTCTTGTAGATCTCCTGCACCTCTTGGTCCGCTAGATCGATCTCCCCGACGACAGAGCTCGCGAGTTTCGGCCGATTCGCCGCGACGTCATCTTCTCTGCGATCGGCTTCTTCCGAGATCGCTCGATCCGCCGGAAAGTAGACCTCGATCTCGCGATAACCGGCGATAGGAGTCCTCGGAGATGGTCCGTCGATCTTCCGAGATCTTCCGAGATCGTCGAAACTTTCGCCAAACGAGGAACGATCGACGAATCTCTCTGCGCTCGCGTCGAAGACTCGCAAAGCGCGCTCGCATCCGGCTGCTTGAACGGCGACGTCTCTGCTATCGCGAGTATTTATCCGCTTCTCGTCTTCGCGATTTTCGTTGTCGTTCATACGACGAGCCGCCGTCGAACGTCGTCGCCCCGACGTCGAGTCTCTGATATTTTTCTTCGCCGGTTCGTCGACGATGCGGCGACCCGTTCCGTCCAACTCGACGCGATACAGCAGCTCCGATCCCGTCTCCTCGTTTACAGCCATCTCCCATTCGTTCTGCTGCGGGGACAGCGATGTTTCCCAGAGATTTTCCGGCTCCTTCCAACCGGTCGAATGATCGAACGGCGTGCTCGATCCGCTCGGACGCGGCGCGTCTTTCGCGAGTCCTTCGAGCGTCTGTGGTTCGGCCTCTATTTCGATCGGCCCCGCTTCGATCTCGCTGAATTCTGCGATGCAATTCGCGGCAGACGACGACTCGTCCAAGAAACCGTCGCCTTCGCTCGCGACGGTCTCTTCTCTAACTTTCTCCGCGGTTCCAGGTCGGTAAAGAGCTCTCGGCGATCGTTCGGAAAATGAGCCGTCGACGGTTACGTCGTTCATACGTCCTCGATTCGACTCCCCAGGCGCGTCGAACCTGGCCGAAACGATCTGTGACGTCAATTTCTCGAGGATCGCGCGCGAACTTTCGTCCTCGGTGTCGCCGATCCTTCCGTCGACGTCGTCGCGCGCTTCGACGTCCTCGATCGCGCCGCTCGCCGCGACCTCGGAGCTCGCGTCTCCATTTTCCAGCTGGTCCCGATCGTCTTGAGAAAGCTGCCCGCGAAAGCTCAAGCGTTTCCGCTCCAGCATCTTGGCCCTCCTCGACTTGAATCGGCCCGTCGACATCCTGCGATTCAGCATCGCCTTTTCCTCGAGGCTGAAACCATCCGGACAATTGTTGACCCTCGAATCGCCCTCGTCGATCCTCCGGACTTCCTCTTGCTTTTGACAGCGGGAACGCAATCTCTCGAGTCTGTCGACGTCGCCGACGCAGAATTCCACTCGGGGACTGTGTCTCACCGGCCTCCATTTGCCTCGACGCGAGCGCGCGTCCTCTGCTTCGTCGAACGAATCCTTGAACGAGTAGGTTCGGTTCAACCTTGGCGTAGTCGGCGACCAATCGGCGCTGATTCCGCTCCTCGCACTCGTCTCGCCGCATTTGTCTGACTTGTTGGACTTGTCGGACTTGTCAAACTTGTTGACGATCGATGATCCGTCGAAAAGGACGCTCGATTGTTCTGCTCGCGAATCAACGAGGCGGGTGCTCGCGGTCCTTGGCGTATTCTGCGACCAATTGGCGCTAATTCCGCACCTTGGAGTCGCCTCGCCGCATTTGTCCGACTTGTTGGACTTGTCAAACTTGTGAAACTTGTCGCCGGCGATCGATGATCCGTCGAAAAAGACGCTCGATTGTTCTGCTCGCGAGTAAACGAGGCGGGTGCTCGCGGACTTTGGCGTAGCCTGCGACCAATTGGCGCTAATTCCGCTCCCTGGACTCGTCTCGCCGCATTTGTCCGACTTGTTGGACTTGTCGGACTTGTGAGACTTGTTGACGATCGATGATCCGTCGAAAAAGACGCTCGATTGTTCTGCTCGCGAATCAACGAGGCGAATGCTCGCGGATCCAGCGGAGATCGCGTCGTCCTCCTTGTCTCGACCGGTCCTCTTCCAAGCGGTCGGCTTGCTTCTCGGGAAGATGCTGCACGGCGTCACCGTCATCCCCGTCACCTCGACGTTGATGGAGACGTCGTTCAGTTTCGGGTGACCCTCGCTTCGGGCGGAGACGATGTTCGGCATCGTCGACCTGCCGGAGTGCAACGGCTGGCCGGCTTCCGATCGCGAGCGGCAGCTCGGCGACAGCCGGCCAACGAGCGCGGCCATCTTCCGAGTCCTGCGTCTCGGTGTCGAAACGTTGCTACAGTCGCCGAGACTCGGTTTCTTATACTTTAGGGGCGGTACGGGGAGGAGGGCTCTTTTATTAGGTAGCGCAGGTGGATAGGGCACCGCTTCGGACTCGTCTTCTGGCGGCCTGAGGATGAGGAAAACAGGATCAAGGGTGCACGGACTGACAGGTCGGGAGAGGACGGACGGGTTTTACAGGCCGCGGACGCGATTCACGGATTTCAATGGAACGTTCAATTTCGAGGCTTTCGTTTTCGTTTTCTTTTTCGTGGTTTTCGAACATTTCTGTCGAGCGGAAACAACCTTGTCCCTTTTCTTTCTCCTCATGCACACGGTTTTTTTTTATTTAAGGTGTTGTCTAAAGGGCTTTGTCGCGCGGCGACGTTGCGACGTCGCGTTGTTTCGAGCGGCTTACCTGTTCGATCGATCCATCGGCCGAGACTTCATCGGTCCTATCGGACTTGACTTCGACGGGCCGGCGCGTCTCCTGCAACGATCAGAGTTTTTGATGTAACAGTTCTCCTTCATTCTGATTCTACAATTTAATTTACCTACATTCGCGCATTCTCGTTCTCTGAAATCGCTTTAAAGAATCAAGGCTGTGACCTAGTACGTTTTTCGTTGACTGAGAAAATTGTTTGCAGTGAAAATAGAAGAACGATACTCTGACGTCTTCGACGTCGTTTCATGTTTTCTTGTGTAAATAAAAGTAGTTCCGAAAAGAAAAATTAATGTCTCCTATTATCTGCTCAGATTATTACGGTAAAATAGAAAAATATTTCTACAGGAACGAGGCGATTCCTGAGGTCATTTGAAGTAACTTTTTCCTTAGCGAAAATGCGATCCGCCGCTTCGTTTACGAATTATCAACGAAAAACACTGACCAATGTGATCGCGTACGGTTGGCGGCCCGCCCTCGCGACCACTGACGCTGCGTCAGGCGGCCGGCGCTCCGCCCCTCCTGCCAATGCCGCGTCGCGCCGGCCGCGCTCGCTCTCCGATTGGTCAGTGTTTTTCGCTAATATCTCGTAAACGAAGCGGCGGATCGCATTTTCGCTAAGGAAAAAGTTGCTTCAAATGACCTCAGCGATCATCCTTCTCCGAGTGCTAACATAATTATGGGGCATCCTGTGTCTGGTCGGACGATAATACGCAAGATACAAAAATGATAGCTTACACAGTGGCGGGTTTCTGTTTAACGGGACTATCGATTTTGGCGCAGTTCGGCGCCGAGATGCTCTCCTTGGCTCTGCTAGCCGGCTGCGTGGGCGAGGTTTTATTGGAATGAAGATTGGTCGCGGAATTCGGCGAATATTTCTCGCGGGTTATTTGTCTGCGATTCTTCAAGGACGGGGCTCGATACTTCATACGCGCCTCGAGACGTTCCTTCGCGATGTTCGTCGCCGGGCTCATCGGCGCCCTCGCGATTCTGTCCTTGCACCAGGCCACGTGCCTGTCGTACGCCTTGACGCCGAAATGACGACCGCAGGTGGGACACACGCCCTGCTCGTTTGCGCGCGTGGGCGCGCTCGACGACAACACCGTTGCGCATTGTTTCTGCATCGCGCCGTCCACCTGGAATCGTATTAGACGATCGAGGTTATTCTATTAGATCATGTCAAGGTATAATAATAAATCAGAAAATAATCAAATATAATATACTATATTAATTTGTATAATGTAGATTAAATATAAGATTGATTATAAGATAAATGTAATATTAGTATAATATAATATAATATAATATAATATAATATTGTTATATTATAATATTATTATAATATAATATATTATATCACACACACACACATAATATTATTATAATATAATATAATATTATAAAATTAAATATAAGATAGATTATACTTTCAATCGAACAAATAACTACTACATTTACTATTCGCCATTTGAAATACTATTTTACCCATCCGATATCCGATCGCGCAATATGAATGCAGTTGTATCGACGCATTTTCTGTATTGTGCAACCTTGGATCCATTGTTAAATATCTGCTTGTCTTATTAACGCCTGGACTGCCAATTCGCTTGTACATATCTGACGCGTCCAAGTGCGAGGAGTTCACGGTTCGAATCGGCTTGCAATTTAAACGAATTATGTCATTGAACACAATCGCGCGACGTTTACTCATGCACGTCATTCATAGTAACGATTAGAGTGAGCTATTTACGAGGACGTAATCGCGAATCCCGCTTAATCGAGTAAACTGTTTATCAAAATCAGAAGTCGGAAAGTGATTGGAAACAATCGGATTGCAATTTGTGCATCGAAAACCGCGCGGTTGGCCCTCTGAAAAAGCGAATAACGGTCTCTCCGATCATTAGGCTGATTAGCGAGTTATTTAACAGTTTTTTACGTGGACGCAATCGCGAATTCCGTTTAATCTAGTAAACTCTTTTTTGTGCCTTGAAGTCTGAAAGTGATTCAAAACAATCGGATTGCAATTTGTGCATCGAAAACCGCGCGATTGGCGCTCTGGAAAAAGTGAACAGCGTGTCTCTCCGATCATTAGATTGTACGTGCGGACTATAAAGCGTGACCACAAACATCGTATTATAGTTTTGCGTGGTAGAAGACCGTTCATCTCACGCGCGAACGCACTTGCATCATTCGCGATGCATCTAGGTTAATCTACGTTCTACCTGCAATTCACACCACGCGTCGCACTCTGCCAGCTTTCTGTTTCGATTCGACTCTCCCGCGTTATATTCTCCAATTATCGTAATCGCGAGTTTCGCCAGGCGGAAGCAATTGCAAGCCTTGTTAATTGTTAATTAAGGATACACGAAATGTAGATGACGCGTATAAGCGCGACTAAACGGCTGTAAAATGACCGGCTATTAATAATTCGTGATTCAAGACGCGAGTTGAAAAATTGATTTTATCCGTCGCGATTAGTTATTGATTTCGATGTGAACGATGATGACCTTTCAAGATCTGCATCGTGCACTAAATTTAATTATTATAATACACTTAAGTTAATTCATTATTGCAGCTAATTAAATTGTTTTGCAGTCAACACACGAGAATGGAAACAATTAGAAATATTTGTATTAATATTGACAGAATTTTTAAATAGTTAAGACTGATCCCAGTCATCATAGCCAACTGAGAAGAATTTGTTTAACACTATAACACTACATATATAATGCGAACAATATATATTTATCGATAAATTGGATAATAGCGTCACGAGAACAGATTAAACAATAACACAAAAACATTTCATTTAACATATATTAACTAGGATATATATTGTTTAGATATAGAAAGAACAAGACAAACAATATAAAGTGCAGTTACAAACAGCTTACTTATAGGACAATTGCAGAGGTGCGCAACAATAAACAAGACATCCCAAACTTGCGTTACTTCCGCGAATCGAGGGATTCCTGAGGCCATTCGGAGCAACTTTTTCCTTTGCGAAAATGCAATCCGCGGCTCCGTTTACGAGTTATTAGCGAAAAACAGTGCGGAACTGGGCTTCGAGCAATCGGAGCGCGAGCGCGGCCAGCGCTCCGCCCTTTCGGCCAATGCCGCGTCGCGCCGGCCGTATGACGCAGCGGCAGTGGTCGCGAGGGCGGGGCGTCAGCGATCTCTCAGTGTTTTTCGTTAATAACTTGTGAACGAAGCCACGGATTGCGTTTTCGCAAAGGAAAAAGTTGCTCCAAATCGCCTCAGGAACCCCTCGTTCTCCGATCGCGGGTGACTTTAGGGATACTTTTTATTTTGTTTCATTGTTTCTTCGACGCTTCCACCATCGCGGAATCCTCGAAAAATGTATGAAAGTCTTACGATCTCGTTCCGAGCTGCCCGGATCTGTCGCAGAAAGTCATCGTGCGTCTGCTTCCAGGTGGACCTGTTCCTGTCGTCCTGCATCTGCCGTCTTTTCTCCTGCTTGGGCAGGAACTCGGCCAGCTCGGTGCCCTGTATCCTCTGTTTCGCCGAGTCGAACGGCTTCCGTCTCTTGGTGGCGTTCTGCTCGCATATCCTCGTGTGCTTCTCCAACGACTGCGGCATAAAGGTCCGTGCGCAGATCGCGCACGGCAGAAGGGCGGACGGCACATCTGTGTCCATTTACCGAGAATTAGTCTGCCGTCGCCGCCGATGGTCCTGCTTTTAAGGAGACGCGTTCGTGGATCGGGCAGAATGAGTCAGAAACAATATCGGAGAAAAACGCTGTTCTACTGGACACGGGCATCGGTGAATCGACGTCGACGCGCTCGCGGACGCCGCGAAGGACTTCTCGCGGACTTCGTCCTAGGACGAAGGACATCTGACTCAGACTGCGCGAGGATTCGCGATCGACTCCGAGGGCCGCCTAACACGTCGAGAGACTACTCTGCGTGGGATAAACCCTCGCACCATAGAATCGGAGATCGAGTTTGTTAGAGCTTGTTACACTGCACTTGCTACCGGCAGGAAGGATCGGCTCGATTCGCAGGAATTGAGGAACGACGCGACGAGGAATTGAGAAAAAGCGACGGGTTCTCCGTTCGAAAACTGTGGACACCTTCTTGGAAGCTCCGAGCTAAACGCAGCCGCGATTAACGCTGGATTCACGGAGCCCGACAAAATGGCGGGTCGCTAATTCTTTAATTTACGATTATTCGTGTGGTACGGATACATTTAAGAGTTGTTTATTGAATTTACGCGTTACTTACGGCGAATGTTACAATAACGCTTGTTCAGAATAAATATCTAAATGTTAAATAAACGTCTAAATGTCTAAATAAATGTCAGAATAAACGTCAGTCGGAATAAATGTCTTATCGCCACTTTTGTAAACTGCTATAAGAACAGCTGTTTTTCGTGTCCGGCGAATCTAGCGTTGATCAATCGTGTTTCCATTTTCAGCGGTACAGTTCGGTTCGCGTGAAATTCGCGGAGGATCCCCGCGGAGAACGTCGCAGCTGGCCGGCCGCGCGACGAGATAGAACTTCCGAGGTGCGATCGAACGAAGGAGAACGGTCGCGACGACGAAGTCCGAGGGCGAGGATCGATCGCAGGAGATCGTCGAACAATGGCGTCGCAGCCGGGATCAACGATCAATGAGAGATCGGCGGACGAAACGGGACCGATCGAGTCGCCGCAACGGGTTTACCGACGAGGCGATAATTAATCGGCCGCTCGTTACGTGCTCAAGGATCGCGGCCACCTGCGTCGATCTCCTGCTGAACGACTTCCACGACGAGGTGGAACGAAGACGAGGTGTCGCCCCCGCGAGCGCGGCTCGCCTACGGAGGAGCAACCTTCCATTTTTGGCGTTATGAGTTACCGTTCGAGTATTGTAACTGTTTGCACGAGTGGAAGAGATCTCGACAGCAGTCGCCGCCGCCGATTCCTTCCGTCCTCGGCTTTCCGCGGATGGTATGCCTACGGCACCGTGTAAACGCCTTTTCGAAGTGTCACCTTCACGGCTCGGCTCGTAATCGAGCGTCGAGCCGCCGCGCGCTGCGATATTTCGACCGAAGAAAGAAAAAATGCGATTTCTAAGCCGAATGCGAAGGGAAATGTGCGAGTTTATCTTTGATTTGCAGGGCAATATCGCTCGATGGGGTAAATTTGGCCGAATTTTCCTTCAGCTTGTAAACAGAAATGTTTACGGCTCATTTTTATAGTTGCCGATTGTCAACGATTGTAAAAATATTGGCGCAAGGTTTATGTAACTGTATCTACTTTCTTCTAAATTGTACATTTTCGTTTACTAGCTGAAGGAACATTGGGGAGAATTTAGTGTAGTCGATCCGGCAGGTTTTTATTGTTTGTAAAACATAAGAATAATAAAATATAGTTTAGTTGAAGATACAAAATACGTGACGAAGAGACGAGAAAAAATAGTCGTTGAGAATCAAGTCGCCTTGGATTATCGAAATATCACGCTGTGCGCCGCGGCAATGGTCAGCATATTTTGCCTTTTTTATGAGAGAGAGAGAGAGAAAGAGAGAGAGAGAAAGAGAAAGAGAGAGAGAAAGAGAGAGAGAGTTTTCTCCGATGAACGACAGCGATCGAGGGAAGACACGCCATTTCTTGACAAATGGCCTTTAACTGTCACGGATTTCTTTTATTCTGTTTTAGAGAGAAAGTCGAGCGATGGATAGAAAAATACGTTTCCAGATATCAGTGAAATTTAATTCGAGGAACTGTAATCGAGAAGCTTAATGAAATAGTGCCCTATACGTAGATATCTATGCGTCATTTTTCAGTAAATCGTCTTCATCCAATTGTCACAGTTTTCTCTATTTCTTTTTCTTTTTAGATAAAGACGAGCGAAGAAGCAAAGCTCTAGTAAAACAACAGCTAAAAATCGGTAAAATTTGGTGCGAGGAACTGCGATTATTATTATTCCCATCGATGGACGAAGGTCGCACATGCTATCGTGCCTAAATCGTGCGATTCGCTCAAATTCTTTGAATTCAGAAAACACAATTCTTGAAGTCGTACGATTCAACTCTGACACGTGTCGCGCACAATGTATCAAGGACACGTTGCTTCTATGTTGCTTTGCACCGAACCGGGAAATATTTGCGTTTCATTGAGGATTTTCCGTGAACAAAAAACTATGGAAAGCGAGGCGAGCATTGAACACGCGAGGAAAGCTATTTTGTGTAAACTTTACACCGTAATGTACAAGAAAGACTGAAACCTCTTCTGACATATCAATTTTCCTATCAAAACAGTGATTTTATTTTCGTTCAATACAATCTGCGCGATTTCTTCTTCTTTTATAGATCTGCTATTTTTATTATAATCTTATTCTATTTATCTTATTGATAAACTAGCACAGTTTTGCGTTTTCAATGATCGTACAATGTTCGCACGAATCGGATACGAAAGGTATTAACACTAAACCTACCAAGCAGTAATACTAACTGGCATGTACTGCTTCACAAAAGTGAGAAGACCAAATTTATTTGGAATTTGTAAAGTTTTTATTATAAAACTTGCTCCAATAATATAACTTATTCAAGCGTTTTCCACGAAAGAATCGTCTCGGAACTTCGCAGAATTGCAAAATAAAAAAGCGGTCACTTTGACCGCGGTAGGTTTAGTGTTAAATGAAAAAAGAATGTGAAGTACAGTAATGTCTCCCTTACTGACGCTCAGATTGTCCACTAAATTGGATAATTTGGGAAGAGAGGAGATACGAGTATTCGAGCCTCGCGGCTCGTTTTCATAATTGTGGACAATTTATAACTATAACAATAACTATAACAGCAAGGCTCGAATAAAAAACAAAAAAATTCGTGGATATTAAGTTGCTTGCCGAGTGATTTGTTTGGGGCCGGCGAGGCTTCGTAACAAATACAAAATAATATATAAAGTTTTTATTATAAAACTTGCTCCAATAATATAACTTATTCAAGCGTTTTCCACGAAAGAATCGTCTCGGAACTTTGCAGAATTGCAAAATAAGAAAGCGGTCACTATGACCGCGGTAGGTTTAGTGTTAAATGAAAAAAGAATGTGGAGTACAGTAATGTCTCCCTTACTGACGCTCAGATTGTCCACTAAATTGGATAATTTGGGAAGAGAGGAGAGCCTCGCGGCTCGTTTTTATAATTGTGGACAATTTATAACTATAACAATAAACCGCAAGGCTCGAGTAATCGTATCTCCTCTTCCAAAATTGTCCATTTTTGTGGTCAATCTGAACGTCAATTAGAGAGACATTACTGCAGTTCTCCACAATGAGTACGTATTCGCAACGGCTTCCTTTCCTCATCGAGATGCAATGGAAACATCGTGTCGATGTAAAACGTGTTTTTCCATCGGCTCAGCTATTAATGTTTTGCAAGATCTAAGGTCGGGAAGTCTGTGTGTACCAGGTAACGCGACTGGCATGAAAGTGCTAGGCAAATGAGCGTGCGACGAAGGCCTGCGAGACAGAAAATAACAACTCCGGGATTCGTTTGCATTACCAAATGGAGAAGTCGGCACGGAACAGTCGCGGCAACTGTCACGGGTGCATCCGCGAATCGCTTGACGATCGATAAAAACAGCGAACAGAAAGATGCACGGTTTCGTAAAAGCTTCCAAATCGAACCGCGAACATTTCTAAATTGGAACGAGCCTCGCAAAGATTCGTGAAACACGATTTCACTGGGAAGTATTCTGACAGGAAAACGAAGCTGTTAATTGACAGAAAACAAGCGTTCGGCGTTAATAAAACATTGATTGTTAACAAGAAAGAGAGAGAGAGATGGTTAAGGGTGGAAGATTATCGAAGAAGAGGGAAGAAGAACCGAGCGAATCGGCGCGATTATTCGACGATGGCAGAGATCTCACCTGGCTCGAGATCTCTCTCGATCTCAGCTACGTTATCCGGCTCGACAGGTTGCACTTTCGTTAGATAGCGATCGTAGAGCGACCCTTGGTCCGCCCCAGAGACGGTTCTCCTCGAAACGCAGCACAACATCGAGCGGACAGCATGGAAAGACACTGACTGAGCTCCACCATAATCACGACGCCGCTCTTGTACGCAACGTCTACGCAGCCTCTTTCTCCTCTTATAAAAGAGACTTATTTTAGGTGTCACCGCGAGAGCATCGGAGACGTACCTTAGCTCCTTCCAGCGCGTAGCAACGGCGCCGAGTGCGCATCGAATGCCTGATTAGTAGGCGTAGAATTACTCGAAAACGAATGACTAATGGCACGGCGTTGTTTTAGCCCGGAGAAAAAAATAACAATTTTTCCAACAGCTTCGCGCAGCCATCTTCGATGTTCTCCGAACGATTTTATTGAGTCTTTGTCGTTGAATTTTTACCGTCAACTATGATTACTGCTGCGTTCAGTTCGTTTCACTTTATGTTCATTTTAGGGAAATATATTCTCGTATTTCCTCGTCCTTTCAGCGAATGTTGTATATAAATTATAATACATAATATAATTATATAATTATGTAATTATATACACAGGATGTTATAAATTATATGTGATGTTATTTAATTATAAACTGTGTATATAATTATATAATTATGATGACGTTATTTAATTATAAACTATGTATATAATTATATAATTATGATGATATTATTTAATTATAAACTGTGTATATAATTATATAATTATATAACATAATATACATATAACATATATTATATATTTATATTAATAATATTATATATATATATATAACATAATATAATATGTATATAATTATATACACAGTTAAAATAAATCCAGTCTTTTGGCATTTTGTTGTGAATCAATATATGTACATCGGTCGCGTTTAGGGTTCGATAGTTCTAGTATTAAATAACTGTAGATAACGTGGATGTTAAGTTGCCTGCCGAGTGATTTGTTTGGGGCCGGTGAGGCTTCGTAGCAAATACAACAAGAATGCGCAAGAAACCGTTCAGTCGCAGCGAAATATCGATTTCATTCAAGCTCGTGTCATTGTTTCTTTTACGAGTTCCGCTTCCGCTACACGCTGCGGTCACCGGTCAGCCACGCGAAGCGGATCACGATTGAGCATAAAAGGATCTGATCGATAGTTGAGAGCAAGACGTGCTTACATTCTACGAGAAATAAAATATTTAATGCCTCGCATGGCTTCGATCGTTCCTGATTCCGTGAACGCGAATCAAATATAAGCGATTATTAATTTATCGTATTAACGAACAACTGATTGTAAAACCAGCGAATACGAATTATTGAATTCGATGCAACAAACAATTCTGTTAATGTCTGTTGTAATGAGATAAAAGAAAATTGTGCAAGATTTGAATTTTATTAGAATAATTCTAGACGGAACAGGTATTATATCGCTAAAGTTGCAGTGCTAAACAGTTTTCAATATTTGATTGAGTGTACAGATTAGGTATGCTCGATTCAATTAATTATTTAAAATGGAATGATCGTAATAATATCCACGGGCGAGGCATAGGAAAACCGAACACGCAATGTATTTTTACATTACTGTGGGACACCCGAGACTCGTAAATCTTTTATTACTAAACGGAACGATATTGTCGACTACGTTTCTTTCCATACACTATATCCATATAAATAATAATATTAAGTCCGATTTAAAATAATAATAATAACAATAATTTTTAAATTATATTAAAATGAAAATAATTATATAAATATATATAAAATAAATAAATATATAAATATAATAAATAATATATATATATAATAAATATATATATATATATAAATATAATAAATATATAAATACAAATAAAATAAATAAATATATATATATAATAATTATATAAAATTGAAAATAATATCAATTTTATTTCTGTTATAATATTCCTCAGAGAATGATAAAATCAGATGTTAGAAACACTCGCAAGATCTGTCATGTATCAATTTATTTTTAATACTATTTTCCCTAAATCCCTAAAACCCTAATCAAATTTATTAGAGAATGGAACGGCTACCACGCAGCATGGACGTATCGACGCAACCCCCCGTAACGACGAGACCCTGTTCCGTCGCCAAAACCACGGAAATGTTAACTCGTTCTCCGTTGAAACAAGCTCGCGATCGCTCGACTCGCATTTCCGGCGAGCTGTCCGCGTCGATAATCGATTCACCGATTTCGCAGGCTTCGATATCCGGCATCGATGCTATCCGGCACGGTAAAAGTTCTAACCCTTACCTTCTGTCAGCTGTTCGGTCCCGATTTCAAGGGGCATTGAACAACGGACCGGACAAGATTAGCTCGGACCCATCGCTAGCTTGGTCCTCCGTTCCACTCGAGCGGCCGAATACACTCTTGTCCGCGTGGTTGTCGGGTATTATATTTTTAGAAGACGGTCCGGGCCGCGAAACTGGAACCGGACGGAAGTGCAGTGCGGGAAAACGCTCTCGCCGCGATTCCTATCTCTCGATGCGTTATTTATGGCGAACAAAACGACCGCGGGCCGCGTAAATACTAGCCGAGGGAATTTTCTGTACGCAAACTTACCCTCGAACTCCGCCATGTCAGTTGTTAGGGGAAACAATGATCGTCATGGTAACCCCGATGACAGGTACATGCTCCGACTACACATGTAAGACCACGGTGGTTCGATCAAAAATCATCGAGAAACCTGAGACACGCGACGAGCCGAATTGTCCTTTCGTTTCATTCGCTTCGAATTGTTCAATCCTTTCTGTGACATAACCTCGATGCCTTGATTTTGTTGCAGACATTGCATCGATCGTTTTTTCCTAAAACTCCTGTCTTAGGAAGATGAAGAGATGCCAATAGGAACTTTAAATAATTATAATGTATAAGCTGTTTTTTTCTTAATGTCGTAATATAATTGTTGAAAGAATTGTTGGAGCGTTTGGTAAAAATAAAAAAAAATGGTATTGCACGTGCGGATGTTAGATAACTGTGGTAGTGCCACATATAGCCCCAGCTTTTATTTAAATCCTCGGAAATTAAAATAGATCGCTTAAGGTCCGTCTGTTTCTCATCAAGTACTCGATCGAGATTTATACTTTCCGATACGACATCGAATTTGTTTACGAGCCTAAAGTCGATTCGAAGTAACCCTTTCAGATGCAATTATTTCTCTTAAGCATCGAACGAGATTTATTACTTTTCTTACCGTTATCATGAATTTGTCTGTGAACTTGAATGATATTACGATGAAGTGCGATCTTCTAACGTTAATTCAAGTCCTCAACAGTTGTAAAATCTCTGCGGGAAACCCTTCTGTATTTATTTTTTACGATAGATAGATCATCGCCATTTCTAAAGTTAAACAGCTAGAAATTCGAAATTTGAAAAACATGAATAACTCGAGAACTCGAGGCTCAAAATTGATGTTCTTGGTCTGAAAATGTTCGGAATGATGTAGTTCACTGAACCTATATGTCAGAATTTCATAATTATGGCTAATTATAGTTTAAAAAAAAATAGGCTTTCACGAGCAATGAAACGCTCTCGCCATCTAGCAGTGAAACGCGCGAACTAAAGCGCTTATTTAGGAGACTGTAAGATTTAAGAAAATCATTAAATACAGCAAATTTAAAGCGAAGAAAAGTATTTCAATGATAGAGGAATATTCATAGAAACTTTCTGTATCCACATCATGCAATAAATGATTGTTGGTTCACGAATTATTTAATGTGTTAAAAAATGCCCGCTCACGGGCATCGAAATAGTATTACCACCTAGCGGTGAAACGCCGGAACTAAATCTCTCTTATATGCACGATTTAAGGTCATCGAAAAACATTAATTACGGCATAATTAGGGCATTAAAAAGTTAACCAAAGACAGATAACTGTTCAGGAATGTCCACAGCATCAATATCATTCGAAAGAAACAGATGAAAATACCGTAAAACGTAATTAATTAACATAATAGTTAATGAAACTTCAGAAGGCAATTAATTATATTTTGCAATATTGTCATTTATATTTTTTATATGATATCGATGCAGTAGACTCTGCTGAATAATTCTGTGTTCTTGGTTTATCTTTTTGTGCTCTAATTTTGCCATAATTAACGTTTTTCGATGACCTTACATTGTGCATATAAGAGAGATTTAGTTCCAGCGTTTCACCGCTAGGTGGTGATAGTGTTTCGTGGCCCATAAACGGGCTATTTCTTAAGAAACCATAAATGAGCATAATTATGACAATATGAGCGATCAAATTAAAGCTTAAAGATTGTATTTTATGATAGATCCATTTAGGCTTGTAGAAAAATTCATGTTCATGCCGAAAAGTTAATAAATTTTTATCGGTAGCTCGGAAGAATTATCGAATTTTAAATATCTAGTTCAAATCGATTTTAAATTTTACTTTTTGGTATTGATTCGTTTCCTTAAATTCAAGTTTGAAGGTGAAGGGATCCATAAATCAATGAAAACTGTACTGTTCTAGTATTTTATTCGATAAATGTTATTTACAACATTAAAAATTTAAATATTCGTTGTAAACAATTCGTTGGCGCCATATTATGAATCGTATTCATACGATATATTTTATCGATTTCGATTACATAATGCGCCTAAATTCACGAAATACAAAAGGGTACGATAAGGGCTAATAAAAGGGCCAAGACCCAAACATTAGATAACACATTTGATGAATGAATTATTAAGTTCATTAATCTGTAATGACATTCGCGTATAAAAAATTGCGGCGAAGAAGTATGTGAAACTTACAAATATGTATTATACTTATTTGATAGATACTCATATGCGATAGTCTGCTCGAAGCTCGAAAAAGTAGTTCGAAAAGTGTAAACATTTAATTATTGTGGTTTATACAAGAAAATATTGAACATTCCATACAATGAAATTCTTGACGAATGGTTTCGCTTATTCTCAGGTATCCTATTGTCTATCTTATTACGTAAATATGTTGCTAAATAAAAGGTTATGTAACCTATAACTTTTAATGTTTTTATACGTACTCTCTATTTTTACGTGCATTAAAACAACTTGATCGCCATTAATAATACCATATATTAAAAAACAACTGAATTTTCGTCATTAACATAACACATTATTTACCTATTTATATAATTAATTTTATTAAATTTATTATATATATATATATTAATATTTCAGGTCAAACGATGTATTGCAAGGACCTTTTCTACTAGTAAAATATTGTCCGCCGAAGGAAAACGTTTAGAAGTGACAGAACATGATGGTGTAAGTTATAAACAATGAAATTCATAGTATTCTATACATTTTTTCTACTAACATTTCTACGTTAGATAATATGTAATGTTAATTTATTTTCATTTTTATGATTAGGTTCGGACATTAACATTAAATGACCATGCAACACGTAATTCTTTGTCAATGAGTATGATAACGTCGCTCTATGAAAATATCAAGAATAATGAGAACGATAAGAATCTTAGGTCCATTGTTATCAGGGCTGCTCCAGGTGTATTTTCAGGTGGACATAACTTGAAAGAATTGGTTAGTTAATAAACGAAGAACCAGACTCACCATAAGGGTTTGTTAATGTAGTAAGGCTTTTACGTTTATCACAGAGAAATGATTGGCTTGCGTCGTTTAGACTGCTAATAATGGGAAGCTTCACAAGGAAATCTTTGAGAAGTGTTCGGAATTGATGAATTCAATTGCTCAGAGTCCAGTACCCGTGATAGCTGCTGTTGACGGTTTAGCTGCTGCAGCCGGTTGCCAATTGGTAGCTGCATGCGATATTGCTGTTTGTACTGAAAGAAGTTCATTTTCTACACCAGGGTAAAGTCTATATAGCGTTAAGTAAAATATTTCTATAACAACAAGCCATTTCTGAATAAAAAATTCGAGTCTAATTATTTTTTAGCGCTAATATTGGGATATTCTGTTCTACACCGGGCATTCCATTGGTTCGAAATGTACCGAAAAAGACAGCGATGTATATGCTTTTTACAGGCATTCCCATCACTGGAAGAGAAGCATATGAAGCTGGTCTTGTAAGCAGGGTAGTGCCAAATGACAAACTCGGTGAGTCAACGTAAAACTTAAGTACCTAAGCATTATATGGATTAATGTTAACGTGTATAATAATCTGAATACAGAAGAAGAAGTTAATAAGATCACCGCGGCTATAAATACGAAAAGTCGCTCGATCGTACACATTGGAAAAACGTTTTTATACGAACAAATGGATCTCGACGTGTCGACCGCGTATTTCCTGGGAACTGAAAAAATGGTCAATAATTTAAAAATGAAGGACGCCCAAGAAGGAATCACAAGTTTTATTGAGAAAAGAAAACCTGTTTGGAATCATGATTACGAAAAAAATTAATTTATATTATGTAAGATAATTTTTATACAAATTGTTCTAAATAATCCTATTGTCTTCCATTTATATATTAAATAACTGTGGTTTATTAAAATAATTGTCTTTTCAATTAATAAGACCGTCACCTTGTTCATTGCTAAAACTAGTGACTATTTAAAAATTTAATTCATTCACGCAAACGATATTGTAATATATATTTCACTTGCATTACTTTAACGCACCTAAATCAGCGAAAAATTAAATTAATTAGTATAGCAATATTTATTAAGGTCACTAGATATACATAGCACAAGTTCGTTTCAGTTAGGTATATAGCGGTCCGAGGGATAAATTCAGAGACCACACTCGATCGTGACGACGCCCATGCATCATAATGTAATCAGGTTAAAATATGTTATCGTATGACGAAGTTCACTCACTAAACGGAGGTTTAATAGATAACCTTTTGAAATAAAAATATGCGAATAACACTCCCCGTGCGTAGCAGGACCTACATAATAATTGACAAAAATCTCGCATGCAGCGGAAACGCCTTAATACTTGACGCCGTAAACCCTAAAACAAAATCATTTCGATTAAAAATGTGTTACATCACAGAAAACTATAGTTTAAATTATGATTCATTTCTCTCGAGAAATGTAAACGAGTACATGCTTCTATTCTACGCTCGTATATCTGACTTACGAGTCCGTAATATCGGACTTACAATTATTCGTAACTCCCCTGTTACCACCAAATGTAATAGAATTCACAAATTATCCGTATTTCACTTTTCCCGTAGAAATTATAAACATCCGAAAGTTCAATAGATACGATAATTTCTAAAGAATTATAGAAACTCCAACACGATGCGACATTTTAAATTTGAGAGGTCTAGGTCGACGATAGTAATTAGTTATTATGCAGCAAAAGGTAATTACAGATGATCTCCGAACAATAATTGGTTTACGAAGAAGTTTGATAGAATTGTTTCTTTTTTTTAAATATCTTCATGCTTTGGGACATTTGTAATCTTAATTGCAAATGCATTTGTACTATGTTACGAGGTGCAACAACTTCCTATAATTAGACCCCGGATCTTCTTTTATGGCACACGAATATAATTAGAAAATAACGAAATCTCCTATTTAGCGTACAATAATGAAATCTCCTGTAGCTTTTCGTTTCCTCATTTTTCTCATACCCTATCCCTTTTACCCTCGATTAGCAACCTTTTTTACTCTCGGCGCCTCTGGCAGTGTTTGTTCATCGCTCGAGACTCTCTCCTAACGACCTGAAGACGAAAACTTTCCGAGAGCGACGAGCATAGTAAATTAATACTTTGTCACGCCTAGTTTTCTATTTACTCTATTCTTTGTTAAACATTTACACTATCGCTATGTCTTTGCTGGTTCTAATTATAATATGAGATATTACATATCGTTTCGCAACCTCTCCGCCCGTTCCTATTTTCTCCACTCCCGTTTCTTCACCGCAAACAACAAACTCGTTCTCACGATTATGCCAAACAAATTATCGCTCGTCCCTTATTGTTCCTCTTCTCGTAATATAATTTCCGTTAACGCAAAACCTGCGTCTATATTTATAGATAATTTATTTTGTTGCTAATTATTATTATTTATTCATTGCTAATTTAGCAAACGATCGAGCTCAAATTTCCGATTCACCGATTCCTCGAAGCAAACTAGAGACAAACTCTCCTCTCGAAACCCCTCGCACGTCGGCCGATTTTATAATTACCCCCCTCCCCCTCGGTGTTCCTTTTCTTTTTATCACCGACCCGGCAAATGTTACACGCTTCCGGGGGTTTGTTAAATAACCTAGATATTTTCCAATTGAAAAATCGTACCGCAGAGACGCGGAGATATTATGACGCTTCGCGCCATATGTGTTATCTCTGCCGCGTTTAACTTTGCGTATGTGCAGATGTATCTGCTTACAAAGAAGAGACGTACGCGTACAGCCCGCTACGTATTAAATCTGGAAGGTCTAGCCAGATAAGAGAGTCGTGGTGGTCGTCGACGATATCGCGTGTCCAGTCACGAAAAATCTTTCTTTCCTCGCATTGTCGTTTTGCTTGTGGTCGAATCTGTCCTCCCCCACTCGCCCAGCCGACCGAGTTTATATAAAATCGTATCCATATTGCTACGTAGAATCAGTGCAACGCTGTCACGCCGCGCGACTTGTACGCAACAACAAGCCAGCCAGAACCAGTGAAGAAGTGGTACAGCTTTTCTTCTCTCGTGCTTTGAAACACCTTCGAACAAAGAGGAACGGAAAATCCCGACGGAGATTCTGTTCGAGTCCGTTTGATGACAGTTTTTACCGATCCCGATCGCAGCTGTATGAGGTTTCGAGCAACTAGGTACCAAGGTCGAAGATCGGGAAGAAGGGCAGCCGTAGGTCGACCCGCGGAGGCCACGATAACCGGTGTTGAAAAGGCGAAAAACATCGTCACCAAAAAGGAAATCGCCGAGCTGCTGTTCGAAACCTGTACTGGTTCGTGTTTTCTTCTCTGATCCGCGTCGTCGAGGTGTTCGTCGCGATCCTCCCCGTGTTAATACAAAATTCCCTCCGGCTCGAGACTCTTTGCTATCTTTCAGACTCAACAATTCAGCAATAGACACGGACGTCGGGAACATTCGTGTTGGTCTTCGCAAGTCTCTTTGGCCCATTGTCTCTCGTGCCTCCATTCTGTCTCCTTTCATTCATTGTGCCTCCCTTTAGAGTGCCTCGTCCTCTATTTTCATCGACAGAACTTCCACTCCCAATTTTCTTCTCCCCACCCGAACCTTCTGCGCTTTCTTTTCTCGTCCTTTAATCGATATCTTTCGCCTCCCACCTAATTTTGCTAATCTAAAAGCAGCTGCCCTAAATTCTTCTGCCCTTCTTCATGCCGTGTCGCCTCGTTCTTGTTTCATTCCTTCTCTAGTTTCTTCTTTATATTCCATATTTTTCTGCTTTTTTATTGTTCCATACCAAAGTATCTCTCCCCCCTTTAAATCTTCGTTTCTTCTTCTTTCTTCTTTGCTAGTTGCCCTTGATCAATGCTCGGTGTCTATGATCAGCGTAATTATCGTGTCGTTATCATCGATATGAATTTATAAATTCACTGCAACGTGACGCGAAAATCGTGACGACGCATCGTGTCGGTGAAACGTTTTCGAATCTGGAATGTTCCGTTCTAGGCTGCAAAAAGATGGCCGCCATTCCGCAAAGCGCGCTCACGGCGTGCAAGGTTCGCCGGAATCTTGAACGGAACACTATGATAAGCCATCCCGTGGACAAGAAAGAGAAAGCAGGCAAAGATGTCTTGTTCAACGCGAGACTCTCCGTGGAAGGTATTTATAACGTAATCATTCGGCATTTGCATAAGTTGCGGTATTATTTTTGGAATTGCTGTATTTGTTGATAAGGTTCTGGCTTATCGATTTTGCTATAAATAGACCGCGATCGTTTTGCGCGAAGATACGATCTGTCAAAGTGGCGTTAGACGACGATTACGTATTTTCTTCGCTCACCAACCCCGTGTGCAATGCGCGCGAGCGACGTTATATACATTTGAATTCGCGCGTTTCAATTATTGTTCCATTCGTTTCAGTCTTTATCGCGATCTGCCAGTTTTCCAAACGGTGTTAAGCAACATATTGTGTACAATTAAATTCGTCGGTTTGAATCGAGATCGAGCGGATTCTACAGTCCTCGTAAACATTGCTCCGACGATAACTGATTTTTAATTGTACAGGCAGAGAGCTGACGCCGATGAAGTACAACAGCAAGCTGATGAACAGCATCTGGGGACTGTACAATCGTTACTCGGTGCACAACTTTAAGAAGAACACCGACGCCAACGACGGGGTGTTCGGATCGTTCGTGGCGGTTTTGGGGGCAGCTTTCGACAGCCATGCACCCGCCGCGAACAAAATGGCTGCAGCCGCAGCCGCCAAGAACAATTCTTAAAGAAGAAATAACGAACACAGATTTACGACTCGATATTCATCCGAATTATCCGTTTGGCAATCGTGTTTTGTTAATCGATCGAAATATATAGAACGATCAAATAGCAATGGAGGCTTGAGCATTTTTATTGAACAAAGTATTGCCAGCGATACGGTAAATTCTCTCCGATTGTCTACCAGTTTTTAAAGAGAAATGGACAGTTTGGGAAGAGGAGATACGATTATTCGATCCCTGCGGCTCATTTTTTGTAGTCGCCGATTGTCAACAATTATAAAAACGAGGCGCAAAGAAGCTCGAATAATCGTACAATAATTTCTCCCTAATTCGCGCTCAGATTGCGCGCTAAAATGGACTATTATAAAATCGTATTAGGTACGATTATTCGATCCCTGCAGCTCATTTTTTGTAGTTGCCGATTGTCAACAATTATAAAAACGAGGCGCAAAGAAGCTCGAATAATCGTACAATAATTTCTCCCTAATTTGCGCCCAGATTGCGCGCAAAAATGGACTATTATAAAATCGTATTCGGTACGATTATTCGAGCCTCGCGGCTCGTTTTTATAGTCGTCGATTGTCGACTAATCGTATCTCCTTTTCCCAAATTGTCTATTTTTGTATACAATCTGAAGATCGTTTAGAGAGAATTTACTGTACTTTCTAGACTGCAGCGTGTCTGCCTATACGCGGTATACGATAACGTGCAAAAACAGGATACGAATCTTACCGAAGACGAATACAGCCTCTACTTTGACAAGTTACGCGGCAGATAAAAGAGTCTAACTTCGATTCCGCGGCATCTTTTTCTTCTTTTTTTTCGCCCTGGAGATAATGTTACGTATTTGAGCATAAAAAACGACTGAAACGATATTCGTTAATTAAATGGACTGCTTAAGATAATTTAAAGACGTCTTTCACGAAGCGAAGGGAGCTTGTATTTTACGATACCGTCGAATGAACTTAGAAACGACACGAGCATAATAAAAAGAAAGTTACGTAAAAGTTACGATGAATTAATGTCTGTCTCTCTCTTTTTTTCATTTTAGGCACTAACCGAGCGTGTTCTCGATTGTCGCGCATGTCGCAGGAATTTTCGAACTAGACAAACTGTGCGAGGATAGAGTTAAATCGGAAATCGGCCCCGCGTGAACTATTCTCTCGTGTCGACTGTTCTCGTTACGGTTCTGCGACGGTTTTCTTATCGTGTACGTTCTCGGTTTCCTTTGCGGACAGAATTCCTCGAGTTTGCTGGAACTGTCGGAAACGTCTACCTCCAAACTCAAGCAAACGGAAGCGACGGGCGTTGCTTCCGATTCCCCGTCGATGGAGGAATTATCTGTTGCATTGTACTCGTTGATGGACAAGTTATTTTTCAGACTCTCATCGTTGTTGATCGAGGAGTAGCTGCTATTTTCGCGAGCGATCGCGTGTACATTGTTGTCGCTTCTCCTCGTTCTGTACGGAGAGTCCTCGTAAAATTTCTTGCTCGCGTTAGGATAGTTTTCGCGGATGATTCTTCCGCAGACCGTGAGCGCGTTTTCATTCGGGTTCCCAACGATCTTCCTCGTGATCACGGCGTTCTTAATCTTCGAGAAGTAGAAGTTCGGATTTTTTGAATGGAAATTGAAGTTCATGCGCCTTCTCCTTGGTTTTTGCGAACTGGTCTGCGTGCACACGGTCGCAAAGAGCTTGTCGTCGTCCAATAAACATAGTTCTTTGCCTTGAGCGCCGTTTTGCGTTTGGATGACGGAGGTGTCGGCTAGCGGGTCTATCACGCGTGAATCCAACTCGCAACTTATCTCCGAGAATCGTGCAACACGTTTCAACTGTTTTTGGGAGAACGATGATCCGTCGAGCGAACGCGAGGAATTCTTGTCGAACGTTTGATCCGTTTGGCTGCTGTCGTCTTTCAAGTGTGCGGGCATTTCGACGGCCTTTTTCCTCTTCCCAAAACGAAACATGTACCTCAAAGATGAGAATAACGATGCGTCCGAGTTCGGATGATGGAAGCAAATCTGTTGACAAAACGTTAATTTAATAGCCAGGAACAACCCTTAATAACGCGCGCGAATCCATTTATCTCGGAGAGATTATATAATTATTTAACTTTCAAAAATATTTTTGGTAAACAACGCGGAAGTCGAAATTTAGTAAACAATAAATACCTCTGGTTCTTTCGTAGGTCTCTTCCAGGCTGCTCCTGGCAGATTCGTCGGTGCAATTGCTTTTATGGATTTGCCTAATTTACGTAAAACACGTGGCTGTGCGCCTCCCATCTTCGTGCCGGCTGAAGTTCTCCCGTTGTTCGGGAGATAATTATTTCGCAGCGAACAAATTTCCTCTCGCAAATCGTCCAAATTGTTGGCAAGCAATTTGATCTGATCGACCACCTGTATCATTTTTCGTTGATCGCGTCCACACGTTTGCATCGACATGTTAAATCGTGTATAGCACGCACTTTTGCCAACTTTTCATGGACGTACAAATTTTTTTGTTGCCAGATGTTAATCTTTCCTGATTACCAATAAATTCGTATCTAATTGACCTATATGTAATCTTGTATTATAAGTACATAACCAAAAAACAGGAATTTACGTGTACATACTAAAAGACTCGAATCATACTGATTTTCTTCAATAGCGGAGTATTTCAAGGCGATAATGTAGCCGCCGTTTATGACTAGATAAGGGCGCTATCAATTTTCGAACGAATAGTACCTAAATTATGAAGCAGTAATTCAAAATTGTTTTACACGCGTTCACCAGCGTTCGAAATAATCATAAAATAATGATCTATTTGCAATTGCACGACATCGTTGTATTTATCTCGCGTAAAACAATCAGCGTAATTCCGTGCGACATAACTCTTCTACAAGACGCATTGATTCTTCGATAACTGTGTTTCGACTTTTCGAGATCACAAAAAAAATTATTGACAAAATTGATCCAACGTTGCTTGTGCAGCGATATTCATTTCAAAGATATAATTACATAATTTAGCAAACGAAAACACAATCTTCTTTTTTTCGGGGAACCATGTTTATACGTGTACAAAATTTGATATCGATTCGATTGGCAATTCATGCAACGCTAAAGAATTTCACTCGACGATAATGTTTTTTGGAAAAGAATATTCAAAGTACCGAACATTAAGCAAATCGCTTCGTTACATCTCAAATATATCTTTGTCACATTTTTCTCTCGTACCATCTTCAAATATTTCCTAACACGTGAGACGTATCTCTCTCTCTATATATGGTGTACGTTTTCGGAACGGCGCATTGTAAACGCTACTTGCAATGCTTTCACGATTAAAAGAATTCTGATCGGAGCTAAATTTAGCAGTCGTTGGGAACAAATTAATCGAAAGCCGCATAGACGCTTGAAACGCACACCAAACCGGACAGAAAAATGAGTCATCGATAATTTGTTTACACTTGTTCGAAGGATACGGGGTATTACGCCGTGATTGTATTAAATATCATTTATTTCGTCAGTCGGTGTCGCGTATCATAGCAGATTGGCTATCAGCGTGTGAAGTTTGGTAATACAAAAAGAAGTCCTTCCCTCCAAGCACGTACATCGACACATAATACTATACTCGTATTTGATTTGTATGTACATATTACAACATTGGTTTCCGTTTTAAAAATAATTAACCGTTCTTTCGTGGGACAAATTTCGCGGGCCTCGGGCCCCGCCGGTCCCTCCGGAAAGAAAGCGTTCTCTATCACAACGGCTAAACAGTTTTCAAGATGCAAAAATCGTGACCGTATAAACAGATAAAAATGAACAACACACTCGGCGTGAACGTCGTTTAACAGAAAATAATCCCGTTTTTTTTATTTATTTATCGCGGGCGTGTTCGCGTGGCAAATCGTATGTCCCCGTTTCACACGTCTTTTATCTTATTCGTTGTTCGATAGGAGAAATTTCGTCCCTACAAAACCCGAGCTGTAAAATGGCATCGTTCATCGTACTTGAAATAAATTACTGGTACAAAAAGAAGAAGAAGAAGAAGAAGAAGAAGTAGTAGTAGTAGAAGAAGACGAAGAAGAAGAAGAAGATGATGAAGAAGGGGGTGATGTAACGTCAGTATCCCGGTGAATCGCGAACAAGCGTTTCTGGAATGCTGTTGTCGGCCGCCTGTGTTCGTCAGCACCATCCCCAAACCGCAGGGTGTGCCCATATACACTTTTGATCTAGTAAGTTCTTCTAAAATCGAGGTAATCGGGTTGCATAATATACACCGTCCACGAATCTCGCTCCAACAATATCATAGACAGGAGTCTTCGGACAAGATGTCGGTGTTTCCAGTGGCTATACCGGGCAACGATTTTCTGTCCAAGTTCAATCATATATATATATATGCGCCCCGAAGAGGCGCGCCCCGCACACAGACCGGAGATGATACACCGCCGTCGATTTCCTCTCTTACCTATAATACTGACAGCTCCAAACGAAACCGAAATGTTATCGAACCACGGAATCCTACGTATAGCCACGCGAATCCTGTCGGAAGACCCATCCTTGTCACCGAATACGAGGCTAACGAATCGTAATCCTCCGGAGTTTGACATCGCGCGCATCCAGCGCGCCAATACTTAGCAGCTAAACTTAAACGCGGTTTAACGAATATAAATAACATAGAAGACGAAGTATGTCAGAGAAAGAAGAAGTTAGAAGTGACTGATTGCGAATCTCTGGCTGCCGGCCCTCGGAGACACGGACCTCTCCCGGCCTGGTACCGATCGTCTCGTCGTCCGACGACATTTCTTGGTCCCTCTTTCTCTTCCGTTTTTATGTTTTCTGGCACAGCCTTGTTCCTCCTCCTGCTCCATGGATCGTCCTGTGTTCCCGTGTAAGTGTCCGGCGTCGCGTGCTCGCCTCCCCACCGAATGAAATCTTCTCCCCGCTGGTCTCGCGACCACGAAGACGAGCGCCTCGACAAGTCTTTCCCCCGTAGCTTCAAGGTTGTTTCGCGTGGGTGGCCTGGATCCGAAGGACGCGTCCTGACTGCCTGGTCCTGGAGAGGATGGATGATTCCTGCCCGGGCTCTAGACGCTGCCCGGGCAACAGGTGATGCGTTTTATCCTGTTCGTCCCCCAGAGCTTCGTCTCGGCTCCTCCGGGCTCGGATCGTTTCGCTTAACGAATCTCTCCGAACGGTCTCGGGCGTAGATGTGCACAGGTGTCGTGCGCTTTCCGTGGACTAGCTCAGTTTAACCGGCCCTGGTACGGTCTGTCGGGAATTCGGGGAGGAATATTGGGTACGGGACGCCTATAACATACACAGTGATTAAATACTTGGAGAATTTTCGGTCGCGATTAGGCGGACGCGCCGAGAACTTAGAGAGAGAGAGAATGAGAGAGAGAGAGAGAGAGAGAGAGAGAGAAAGAGAGAGAGAGAAAGCGGCAGTGGCGCTTGTGCGTGTGCGATTTTGCTCGTCCTTCGAATACGAAATCGGTAGATTTCTTTTTGAACTTTTCAGATATTTTCCGAGCAGACGATAGGCAGTTCGTTGATTTCAATTCATTTGGTATATATTACAGTAATGTCTCTCTAATTGACGCTCGGATTGTCCACAAAAATGGACAATTTTGGAAGAGGTGATACGATTATTCGAGCCTCGTGGCTCCTTTTTATATTTACCAATTTTCAACAATTATAAAAACGAGACTCTAAGGCTCGAATAATCGTAGCTCCTCTTCCAAAATTGTCCACTTTCGTGGACAATCTGAGCGTCAATTAGAGAGACATTACTGTACTAGATAGCACACGATTTTTCTGATAGTCGAATCAATCATCTTTCAATCGATTACTAATTATAAATAGCAAACAACTATTTTCACATATAGAAATATATAAATAATATAAATAAAGGCACATCTAATTAAGAAATCGTTCTTTTATTCGCGCAATAAAATTAATAACTGCAACACTTTCGATGCTGACATAATTTTAAACGAGGAATTAGATTATTGTTCGCTTAATTGTTCGAATAAGAACGTTTCCTACAAAACGATACCGTCTCGTTGCATTAAAAAGTGAAACGATCTATATTTGGATCGAGACGCAGCGGTGTTTCGTATTCGAAGGGTGAAACGTAAGATGATATCTCGACGTCCAATTAAACTTGAATCGATTGGTTGATTCAATTACGCGACACTCTAACTTCGTACACTTCGGTAGAATCAACCTCGTTTCGAGAAATCCTTATCGCGTAAACTGCATATCCAGAGAAAACGATAATTTAATTGGACTTCGCGAGCACTTGTATTATCTCTCGGATAAATGATATGACGAATGAGCTCAATAAAACGGAATATGTGTACATATCACAGATCGGCGATTTGTCACATTTCTAATGGACAAGAAAAAAAGAAACGTAACATCCAGCAAAGTGAAACATGACGAGTAAAACTGCTCCCGGGCTACGAAACGACACAAATAGACTGCGAAGTTCATACAATTTTACGGAATTTAGAATCGTCTAAATATCGATCGATCTGATTACGATTGATCTCCTACGAGGCACTATACTTGAACTATATCTACAAATAGTTGCATAAATATCCGCAGTCTGTATTTCTCTAACGAACGAAAATTTAGCAACACGACGGACGATGATGTAAGGTGAGGGTGCTGCGTGTAAATAGAAACATAGATATATATATAAAATGGACGAACAAAATAACAACAAAGGGACCGCAGATGGGACGATGAACTGCCAAGGAAATTCAACAGATTTGCACAACATGCTCAAGCGGTAGCGAAAAAAAAACGCATGCACAAATGAACGTGTGTAGAAAGCACGCTCGAAACTTTCGCTGTCGGTTCCCATTTTTTTCTTTAGAGCGAGAGAACCTCGCGACAACCATAATCGAACGGAGCACTGCGATAAAGTTAACGAGCGTCCTTCCGAGCACACGGTTAAATATGATAAATTTGATCGACGTTACTTTACAATTAATATCCTGGACACGTGGGCGGTGTTGGGATAATTAGGGTCAACGTTGGTGGTTTGTTTGTAAAGAAAATAAAAACGAACGCAGAAACGCGAATACGCATTTCAGCGTGCGGGGAAAATCGGATTTTTCCCGCATTCCCATGGAAACCGAGCTAACAAAAAGTACAACCATCGTAATCACACTCAAGATCGAACGGGACAAAGCAAAAACCAGAACAAATTACTGTGAAAGAATCGAAAACAGTGTCTGTATATTATATATACACACGCATATGTACAGGGTATCCAAAATTACGGTACTTCCGGGAAACGAGAGATTCCTGAGGTGATTTGAAGCAACTTTTTCCTTTGCGAAAATACAATCCAACGCTTCGTTTGCGAGTTATCAACGAAAAACACTGACCAATGATAGATCGCTGACGCCCCGCCCTCGGGACCACCGCCGCTGCGTCAGACGGCGGCGCGACGCGGCATTGGCCGCAAGGGCGGAGCGCCGGCCGCCCTCGCTCTCTGATTGGTCAGCGTTTATCGTTGATAACTCGTAAACGAAGCCTCGGATCGCGTTTTCGCAAAGGAAAAAGTTACTTCGAACGTCCTCGGGAACCTCCCATTTCCCGGAAATACGATAATTTTCGAACACCCGTATCAACGTTTCAGATCGTTTGGAAGTCGAGCAACGGGGATCCGGCCCGCTTGCGTCTGGAAAAGGATGTTCCCCGGCGGAAATGCGTTTCCGGTTGTCAGATAGCGGCAGGCTTTCTCTCGAATTCTCATTCTTTTATATATAGAGATATATATATTTATAATCTATAACATGGTATTCCCTATATACACATTTATATTGCAGCAAAACAGTGTTTACGTGGCTACCCGTGAACCGGCGGCTCACGATGGTACAACGGTGTGTGGAGAGTCGTGTGAGGTGCGCAATTCGAAAGCAGACCGATGAACTACCTCGCCAAACGCTTTGCTACTTCAACGTGTATACACCGTGGCAAGAACAACGAGCGCCCCTCTCCGCCGCGCAAACGAGAATTATTATTCTATAGTTATAAAAATCATACGGCACCACCGGCGGGCATCGAAGAAAATAAAATAAAAGAAAATCATCACAAACACACGTCGCTACGCTAATTAATCGACGCTAATTAATACGCTTAACGAACAATATACTCGAGTACATACTTCGTTCCCCATTTGCCGAGGGTTCATCATTTCTTCTAGCTTTCTCATCGCCCGGATTGCGCTCGGTTTCGTTCGCCGTCGACGTCGGGACGCCTTCTTCTCTAATAAATCATCAACTTTACGGAATGCGACGTCGACGCCGAGGTCCCGACGCGAGGCCCCCGTTCGGTTGCTCGGGTTAATTATTACAATTATAGTTCATCCGTTCGCCCTGTTGTCTGACGTGTCGTTCGAAGTTCGCGCGCGCGCGCGTCGCAGTGTGTGCTAAAATCGCGCCGACAGTGTGTGCCTAAAATACGCTTCTCTCGCGACTACGCGCGGTCGCAAAAAAGCTGCGGCCACCAACTAGGGCTCGTTCGTTTGTTTGTTTTTTTCGCTACTGTTTAAGGCTCGTAGACGGAAGCATGTGGAATATGATCGGTGCCGCGGAAACCGCGCGTTTCCGCGCTCGGCCACGTGTTTCCGGTCTCGCGCGCGTTTCGGCCACCCCTGCGGTCTCTCCGCGGAGCCGAGCTGGACTGGAGAGACTTCGAGATTCCACTGCTCGTGGAGCGTTTTCGTTTAGAAGAACAATCAAATGAATTCGCTGGTTCTTAACGCGCTGGAGATTACAATAAAAACTCGTTGCTCGAGCAGGAGGCTTTCGTGTCTTCGCGGTCCTCCTTTCGATGTTCGACGATTCTCGCCAATCGGGCCGAGGAATATGTCCAAAGAGTTTGTTTTTTTCTTTTTTTTAGAATTTCGTACGACACGGGCCAGTCGATTTTTTGCGTGAATCGATGTGAAATTTTGTGCGAATTTCTTTCCTCTCGGGTAAAGAATCGCGAGGTTGCTGCTGGGTACGTTTACTCGCCGACACGAAGTCACCTCCGTCGAGCGTACAAAACAATTAATTTCGTCACCGTACGCTTCGGTACGATATAACAAACACAGTTTGAACGGTCGCAAAAAATGTGAATCTCGATCGTCGTTTCGTTCGCATTCAACCGATCCGTGACCGCGAAACCTAAGGATTTCTATTACGACTTTATTAATGTAGGCTCGATCCGTGTGAACGTAGGAAGTACAAGAAGAAATATATCGTCGTCGCAAATGGCGACGCCTTCGGACGAAAGGCGGCCGTTTAATTGACGGGCACGAGGTGCGACGAAACGTCGAAGCGACGACTCGTCGTCGTCGTCGATAATAAAAGAAGTCTCGCGATCCGCGGCGAACGCGGATTTCTTTCGCTTATCACTTTTCGTTGTAACATTTTGTAACGCGGATTCCACCCGGACAATAAACAAAGAGAAGAGACCGTCGACGACTCCGTTACGTAGAAAATAGTTCGTTCGTTTCTCCTTCGGCGAGGAGGCAAAAGTCGCGGGTCGCGATGCTCGAGTATACAGAGTGTCCTTGAAGTGACGATTTTATTATTAAATTAGTATTATTATTATTATTATTATTAAATTAAGATCAGCCTGTCGGGTAGCAGAAAGAACCGCGATTTTATTGCTAATAATGGTCGAGTCATTTTCAGTTTCATTCGTTATCGAGTAGTGAACTGTATCTAAATTAGGGGTGGCCTAACTTTTGATCACTACGGGCGACCTGCTTTTTTAAATTATAGGCGGCGATCTGACAACATCGTATGCGTTAAATGATCATAAGAAAGACAGCAATTTAAAGTAAAAAATAAGTTTAAAATTTATAATGAACATAAATGATATCAGACAGGCGGGTGACTAGGAATACAGAAAATTCTCTCTAATTGACGCTCGGACAATGAGAAGAGGAGACAATTTATTTGTCCAAATGCACAATTTGGGAACAGGAGATACGATTATTAAAGCCTTGCGGCTCGTTTTATCGTACATCCTCTTCTCAAATTGTTCATTTCCAAGTTGAGTGTCAATTAGGAAGAATTTACTGTAATTACGCGGTCAACGCTTCGGCCATCCCTGACCTAAATAATAACAGAGCGTCCATATATATAATAATATATAAATATTATATGTAACGATATATTTATAAACAATATACTAATAATATTGATATATTGATATTGTATATAATTATATAAATAATACGTAAATATTATATATATAATAATATATTATTATTATATTAGCAAGGGTACAAATTA